GGCCTTGGGCTCTGTGCTGGGAACGCGGCTCGCTCGCTGTCGCCCACGGGCCCCGACGGCACCAGGGCACCTCAGGGCCCCAGACCTGCAGATGTTTCTCTGAGGAGCAAAGTTCAGGACCCCCAACGCAGAACGGTGCAGCCTGGCCTGGCCCTGCTCCACTCCCCCACCCTCCAGCCTGGGCAGGGCCTCCATGCCCTTCCCCGGCCATCACCTTCTGACCCTCCTCTCAGGCAGCCACCAGGGGCGCAGCTGGCCTCTGATCGTCTCACATCGGAGTGGGAGGAGCTGGGAGGGCTCAGGCCCCGCCTGATTCAGGCTTCTCAGGGGGAAGGCATGTCCCACCCCCTGGGGTCAGACCCCCTCTGGTGGGTGTGGGGCGCCCAGGGGCTGCTGCCGAGATCGGTGCTCTGGCCTGCGGCCGACTGTGGCCGGTAGCCTTCCCCGCACAGCCTTCCCCGTCTGTGAATGCCCTCCACTGGTCTCTGCACTCCTACCTGCCGGCCCTCAGCGGCCCCGGGAGTCTTCCCTTCACCATCAGGGGCCCATGGGGCCTGGGGCCCACACGTCCCCCCAAAGGAGTTCTGCTGGTCAGACACCGACTCCGTGCCTCCAGGGCATGCCCTGGGCAGGGTGTCCCCGAGCAGGGTGCCTCTGGGCAGGGTGCCCGCTGCTGCTTCCCGCTGCCCCGACACTCTTTCAGAAAACATTAAACTGGCATCGTGTGTTTCAGCAGCGAGGCCTCCTTCATGTGGTCATTGAACCTCCTATCGTCACCCCCGAGCCCCACCTACCGCCTGTGGGAGGCCTGGGGGCCCTCAGACTGGCACCTGGGGACGTGGGAGCCCAGTGGGCACCGGCGGGGTCCTCAGGCGATGCGTCTCGCAGGCTCAGCTGGACGCAGCCTGGGGGATGCCCTGTGCTGGAGGAGCCCTGAGTGGCAGGTGGGACTTGGCCCCCTGCATCTGTTTCCTGGGCAACCCAGCACGAGCCTGATGGCTTCCAACAACAGAGACCAGTTCTCCCCAGTCCTGGAGGCCAAGACTCACCCGCACCCCCCACCCCAGGTCTGTGGGGGGTCCTCCCTGCCCTTCCAGGTTCCGGGCCCCGGCGCTTTGAGGCAGGTCTCTCCGGTCTCCGCCTGTGTCTGCCTGCACACAGCCTTCTTCTCGGCGTCTCTTACGTCTCCCTCCCCTCTCCCTCCTGGACACTGGTCACCGCACATGGGCCCAGCCAAGCCCAGGATGGCCTCCTGGCGGACCCTCAAGTCCACGATGCCTGCAAAGCCCTCAGCTCCAGAGGAGCCAACGCACAGGCACTGGGCCAAGGACTGGGCTTGTCTTTCAGGGCACGTCACCCACTGGCACCTGTGGGCTCGCACCCTCCGCCCCCGCAGGCTGCTCCCCCCGCAGCCCACAGCCGCCGGCCGCCAAGTGGCCGAGAGCAGATGTGGCTTCTCCCTGGCGCCTGCCAGCCGGGTGCTCAGCCAGGGCCTGACCCGGCGCCGGCGGGCAGTCCCGAGGCCGCCCACTCTTTCTGGGCCACGCTGGCCAACGGCGGGTGTCCTTCCTTTGCCGGGTCCTGGGTGAGCTGTGTGGGCGCTCAGCCTTGGGCTGGGGCCAGACCCGGGCAGACACTGCCATCCTGCTTCCTGCCAGACAAAGAGCAGGTCCCGTACCACCCCCCCACTCCCCCCCCCGCCCCCAGCTGAGGCCATGGGGCAGGGGTTCCCTTTCCACGCACTGGGAGCAGGACTGGGCATTGTTCCCAAAGGTGGGCCGAGAGGATGAGTCAGCTTCACCCAGGTGCCCACCGCCAGCCCTCTCTGCAGGGACAGTCCCACGGAGCGTGGACCCCTGACCCAACGCCGAACACGCCAGCTCGGAGAGGAGGCCGTGCTTGCTCCGCGGCCCACCCACTGCCCCCCTTTCTTAAAAAATGTTTTGTACTGGTTTCCGAGAGGAAGGGAGAGGGAGAGAGAGAGAAACATCCATGATGAGAGAGAACCATGGACCGGCTGCCTCCTGCACGCCCCACACTGGGGATGGAGCCCGTAACCCCAGCATGTGCCCTGACGGGGAATGGAACCGTGACCTCCTGGTTCATAGGTCGATGCTCAGCCCCTGAGCCATGCCGGCCAGGCCCACTGCCCCTTTGATGTCCCTCCCTCTGAGCTCCCCACACCGCTCCTCACAGCTGCATCTCCCACTCCCTTCCCGCTCCCTCTTTCTCCCAGTATCACCCGCTCCTCCTTGCGCGGTGCAGGAGGCACAATCACACACACCATCGGGGACTGGCCCGCCAGGGGACTTTCCTGGTTTTAACTGTAGGGTAACATGGGTGCCAGCCTTTACGAGTCACCTGCGCCCTCTGACGCCCGCCCTGAGCAGCTTCGCTTCGTAGGCCCCTTCCCCGCGGCCGCCTCCGCTGGGAAGGACCGGCTGACCGTCCCTGCAAACTCAGGCGCAGCACAAACAACTGGGCATGAGCAGAAGGACTGAGAAGGCGGTGACTCAGCCGAAGGGGAGGACCGCTCAGTGAGGACTTCCCGGATGGACGCAGCCAGGGAGGGGGCGGGAGGAGGGCACTCCTGTCCTCTGGGTGAGAGTGTGTGTCCATCCGTCCATCCATGTGTTTAATTTTCTGTGGGACTCACCATGGGAACCCCACCGCATGGCGGCAGGCTGGCTTCCCTGGGGCGGAGGAACTGGGATAAAATGAGACCTGCTTGCCCAGCTCATGAAAAAAAAACAACAACCCAGGAAGTTGCAGAAAATGATGAAAACAAGACGCCTCTGTGCAAATGGGAAGTTGGACCCCTACCTCACACCATATACAAAATTTAAGTTGAACTGGATCAAAGGCCTAAGCATAAGAGCTGGAACTGTAACATTTGTAGGGAAAAAACTACAAGTGGTCATAACCTTGGATTAGGCAACGGTTTCCTGATATGGCACCACAAGCACGCGCCCCAGAAGGAAGCAGATAAACGGGCAGCATTAACGTTTGCAATTCTGCGCTTCCAGGGGGCCCATGAAGACAGCGAAAAGGCCACTCCGAGGAGGAGAGAACGTCTGCAGCGCGTGGACCCGAGGAGGGATCGCCACCAGCCGACATGACACGTCTGTGCCTCAGAGCAGAGAGACGGCCCAGCGAGAAACGGACAATGGATCTCCATACACGTCTCCAAAGGAAGGGGATCCAGACACCAATAAGCACACGCAGAGACGCCTGCATCATCAGTCGCCGGGGAAACGCAGGTCAAACACAGCCAGACACCGTGTCACAGCCACCAGGATGGCCCTGATCCAAGGGCGGGGTAATGCCCTCGGCACCCCACCCCCACCCCCACCCCAACCGGTCTCCCGCTTCCACGTGTGGACGGAACAGACCCCCGGAAGCCCCTTCTTCCAGCTCCGGCCGCCCGCCCCCCTTCCCGTCGCCGCCTTCAGAACCATCTCGCCTCCCTCGGCCTCTGAGACCCTCCAACTCCTTTCTGCCCAGCAACCCTGAGCCCAGATGCGTCAGAATTACCACCACCGCCCCCCCACCCCCACCCCACCACACCGCTTCCCAGGGGCAGGCCCGTCGCCCGCTCAGCCTGCCCTGGGGCCCCCACCTACCTTTCTTGGGGCTGCTGTGCCCCCGGCTGTGGTTCTGGAGCGCAGAGAACTGGCAGGAGAGGCCCAGGGCGCCCAGCGGCTCCTGAAGATGCAAACCCCGCGTGGGGGTGGCCGCGCCCCCTTCCAGGCCGCGCAGAGGCCTCCCCACACGGGGGAGGGGGGCCCTCGGGAGGCGGGAGGCCGCGTGGGGGGAGAGGACCCTGAGCCAGGCCCCGGTGCTGCCCGCAGGCCCAGCGCTCTCACTTCCTGGGAGCCCGTCCTGGGGGAGCAGGTGAAACTCATCGGGAGGACCGGGCTGGGCGGGCGTGTCTCCGTGAAAGGCTCCCTCAAGCACTTGGAGCCGGAGCCCCTCTGCGTCTGGAGTCTGGCTTCTGCCCGAGCCTCTCCCTGAGACTCGAGGCACCTTTTTCTGGTTGTTGTTAATCCTCACTTAGGATATTTTTTCCCAGGGAGAGAGTGTGTGTGTGTGGGGGGGGGGGGGAGGGGGGCGAGAGAGAGAGGGAGAAACATTGATGTGAAAGAGACACATTGATTGGCTGCCTTCTGCATGCACCCCGACTTGGGCCAGGAATTGAACCCAAGTCCCTTTGGTACACGGGCCAACGCTCTAACCACTGAACCACACCGGCCAGGGCTACAGGCATCCTTTCCCCACCTTGGAGCCCCTCCCAGCTGTGGGCCAAACACACACAAGAGAGCCTGTTGCAGAAGAAACTACGACCACCCGCACAGGCACGCCTCCTCTCTCTGCGGGGGCCGGGAAAGTCGGGAGCTCCGGAAGCTCTGGGCTCCGCTTGGGCTGGGTCAGGGGTCAGGGGTCAGGGTTCAGGGCCAGGGAGTGTCCTGGTTACTTCTTCCCGAGGGCGACTGAGCGAGCGTCCTGGAACCGACTGGCGGATGAGCTCACCCGGACAGGACGCAGGTGCCAGGGCAGCGCTCCAGGGGACCCGCCCACGGAGGGCCCTGCACAGCGGGAGGGCGGCCTGGGGAGCGAGTGGCCTCGCCTGCCCCGCACTCCGCCCTGCCCTGGATATGGCTCCACACGCCCGGCACAGAGGAAAAGCAGCTAAACGGGACATCGTCAAAACGTAAAACTCTGGCCCGGCCGGCCTGGCTCGGGGCTGCGCATCGGCCTATGGACCAGGAGGTCCCGGTTCGATTCCCGGTCAGGGCACAGGCCCGGGTGGCGGGCTCCATCCCCAGTGTGGGGTGTGCAGGAGGCAGCCGATCCACGATTCTCTCTCATCATGGATGTTTCTATCTCCCTCTTCTTTCCTCTCTGACATCAATAAACATATGTATTTAAAAAATGTAAGGGTTCGCGGCGCAGGAGACAAAGTCAGAGAGTTAAAGAGCCAGGCAAATCAAAGGCGGTACTTGAATCTGCACTCGGGGCGAGGCACACGGCCCCAAAGGGCAGGGCCAGTGAAGTTGCCCCGAGAGGGAGTGAGGCATTTTAATACAGCTGTTCAGTGAGGGCGGGGGCATGAGCTGCGGGGGTTCCCATCGAGGGCAGGTCCCTCACGGGTTCCAGGAAGGAGTCTCTGTCGCCATCTGTCTGGCACGCTGACCTGTTAGGAGTTCCAGGGAGGGCCCGGTATCTGCGCCGCCATCTGCCTTGTGCACGCACGGGCTCCTGGGCCTCCCTCCGACCTAGCAAAAAAAAAATTAAAATTCTGTGCTTCAAGGGACACCATTCAGGGCAGAGTGGCCGGCGAGGGCAGGGGCTGCTCTGGATGGAGAGAGCTGCACAAGTGGGACCAGAGTCCCTGTCCTCCCGGGGACTGGGAAACCGCCCCTGACGATGGCGGAAATGCTGCGACTCAGAGGAGGCAGCCGCCACCTTAGCTGCCCGCTGGTTTGAGTTCCCGCTTCCTGAACACCAGCGAGCAAGGGTCTGACGCCCAGCAGGTGGGAGGTGGGGAGCGCACAGGGCGTTACCACAATGGGAAGTTAAAGTCACCCCCCGCCCCCTCCCCACTCCCCCACTCCCCCGCGGCTGAAGAGATGGAACGCGGGACTGAGACGCGTGGCCGGGAGCTGGACACGGCAACGGCCATAAAGGGCCGCGTGGGAGTCCGGACGGGACGGGGAGCCGCGCTCAGCCTGTGCCCGGAGCGGGCGGGAAGATCGGTGGCTTACAAGCTGAGTCAGAAGGAAAGAGGAAGCACAGGTCAGGACCGACTTCGTGTTCATCAGCTGAGAAACGAGGCACGGACACTCTTTGTTGTTGAAACGCACGCCGTTCGTTCGGGAGGAAACAGGAGGCCTGAGCAGCCTCAGTGTAAACTAGGGGCGCCCTGAAAGGCTTTCCGCAAAGCGCGCTCCTGGGCGGGGCTGCTCGTGAGTAAGCGGTGCCCGGTGTTTGGAGGGAAGCAACCCCAGCGCTGCACAGGCCCCTCCGGAAAAGGGGAAAAGGGGGCGTTTTCCAACGCGTTTTTAACATCGTCTCATCCAAAAGCTGATGAGAAAGGGGCAGGAAAGGAAAATGGCTGGTCACCTCACTGGTGAACGCGGACAGGAAACCCCCAACACCGCACTCACAGCAACGGGAGGAGCTTTCCGGAAAGCGCAGAGGACCCGGGTCCATACCATGAAAGCGCAGCCTGACCCTGACATTATAAACAACTTGACCTCCGGGCACCCTGGCTCCGACGGGGGAAGGCCGACTGACCCTTTCCTAAAACACGACAAAGGCTGGAGTAGTCCACGTGTTCGTGACGGTGCGGTCGGGAGATGCTGTGGGAAAGATACACAAATACGGACGCGGGGGGGGGGGGGGGGCGGGGGGGGGAGGGGGGAGGAGCTGGCGGATCCCACTCCACCCCAGGAAGGGCGGTTGGAGGGCTGGAGGGGAACTAACAGGAGTCGCACCGCCTTCCCACTTAATGAAAACCAAAGTGCCGCTGAGCCCAAGCCGGGGGCACAGCGGGTCACCCTCTAGGGCAGTGCCCCCCTCAGCCCCTCAGGGCAAAACACGAGAGGCTTCAAAATAAGTCGACCGAACGGGCCGCGTTTGAAACCCGAGAAGGAACAACAACATAAACCCAAAGAAAGCGAAAGCGGAGAAGACGGACACGGAAGCAATCGGGAAACAGAGAAACTCGGGGCGGGGGTTTTGAAGAGACGGATAAAACAGACAGGGCTCCGGCCCAAAAGCATCAGGAAAGAAAGAGAAAGAGCAAATAAACCACAGGGACTGAAGAGACGCACCCCTGCGAGAGGAGAGCGGTGATTAGAGACCACGGGAGGCCTGGGGGGAACGGACACTGCCCAGGAAAACAGTGGTCAGCAGGGTGGGCCCAGGGAGAAGGGGCGAGGGGTCTGAATGTCGAGAACCAAACAGGAAGGCGAAACATTAAAGACCCGCCGGGCGGGCGGCCTGGCCTGTGTCCCAGAGGCGCCCTGACCTGAGGCCCACGCAGAGCCTCTAAGGCCAGGCCTCAGCTCCCAGGAGGGAACGTGTGTGTGTTTGTTTACGGTCACCTCCCAGCTGCGGGCGGGCGCTCGGAGCACCTGGCCCACACAAGGCACCTGGAGGTTCTACAGGTAACGAGGCAGAACAACAGCCCGGCCGGTGGCTCAGTGGTGGAGCGTTGACCTCTGAACCAGGAGGTTGCGGGCTCGATGCCCCGTGGGGGGCGCGCAGGAGGCAGCCAATCGGTGATTCTCTCTCATCATTGATGTTTCTCTCTCTCTCCATCTCTGAAGTCAATAAAAACATACCTGTGTGCGGCAGGACACCGCTGTTGTACAGCACAATGTTATGTGGTTTCGGGTGCGTAGGTGCGCGTACAGTAATGTTAAACCACCCGGGCGGACACGGGCCACGCTGCTGGTCCTGGGGGGCCCCTGAGGGGCCCCTGAGGATGGGGTGGGGGCAAGGAAACCAAGAGGGAGGCGGGTAAAGAGACACTAACTGTCTGCAGGGCTTTCACTCATTGGAAGGCGAAAGTGAATGAAATGTCTGTGCAGTTAAAGCATTAAGACAGGGACCCGGTGAGTGCAGGCATCCAGTTCTGCCATGTAGCGTGGTAGTTAGCCGTGTAGCGTGGTAGTTAGCCGTGTAGCGTGGTAGTTAGCCATGTGGCGTGGTAGTTAGCCGTGTAGCGTGGTAGTTAGCCTTGTAGCGTGGTAGTTAGCCGTGTAGCGTGGTAGTTAGCCATGTGGCGTGGTAGTTAGCCGTGTAGCATGGTAGTTTGCCGTGTAGCGTGGTAGTTAGCCGTGTAGCGTGGTAGTTAGCCATGTGGCGTGGTAGTTAGCCGTGTAGCGTGGTAGTTAGCCGTGTAGCGTGGTAGTTTGCCGTGTAGCGTGGTAGTTAGCCGTGTAGCATGGTAGTTTGCCGTGTAGCGTGGTAGTTAGCCGTGTAGCATGGTAGTTTGCCGTGTATCATGACAGCTTGCCGTGTAGCGTGGTGGAGCGAGTCTGTGCTCAAAAGTGGAGGGCACACCCCTCTGTTTTGCAGGCACCACCATCACCACAGCCACTCCAGTCACCTCCGTACGTGGCTGACGTAGAACTTGCTCAAATGGACCCTGTAAGCTGCCAGGGCTGCTGGGGACATTGTCTTCACCTGGGCAGCCAGCGGGCAGCTAAATGGCGAGGCTTCACCCTAACCGGCTTGGCTCCGTGGATGGAACGTCAGCCTGTGGACTGAAGGGTCCCAGGTTCTATTCCGGTCAAGGGCATGTACCTTGGTTGCGGGCACATCCCCAGTAAGGGGTGTGCAGGAGGCAGCTGATCGATGTTTCTCTCTCATCTAACTCTCTATCCCTCTCCCTTCCTCTCCGTAAAAAAAATCAATAAAATATATATATATAAAAAAATAAATGGCGAGGCTTCTCTCCCTAAAGGAAGGGGCGAGAGGGACATTGGGAACAATAGTTCCGGCCTCACCTTTCCCCATAGCAACAGCCCTGGGGCAGGTGCCGATGATGGCCACTCCACCTGCTTCAGCTTCTGGTCCTGGGACATCGTGGGAGGCCGGAAGGGAGAGGCTGGAGGAAGGCAGCACAAGCAGCTGTGAGCCCCGACGCCCTCACTGGGCCTGGCTGAGTGGCAGGCGCAGCAGCCAATGCAGGTAACCCGAGGCCACCTGCAATGCCAGGCTGGTGACGCAGTGGAGGTCAGCTCTCCTGAGCCCACCTATGCCTGCGCTCAGGTGGACAGAGGCCTGCAGGGCGGGAAGCCCCGTAGCAGGCAGGGCGGCCTGCAGGGAGGCGGAGGCGTGGACTTACAGGGAGGGCTGCCAGGTTTAGCCAACCCAGGACCCGGCTCAACTGGCATTTCAGACAAACGAGAGAGATTGCTTGTGTAAGCGTGTCCCAGGTTTCGTTTGCTGTTTATCTGAGATTCAAATGTAATTGGGTGTCCTGTGCTCTACCTGGAAACCCTCCAAGTCTAGGGCTCTCAGGGGCCCAACACGGCCTCAGGGGGGTCTGGGGCCCCGTGGGGACCTCCAGGTTCATCTTGATCCCCAGAGAGACCGGTAGCCACAGGGGCCTGCTGGGCAGACAGCTAATGGGCCAGTGCAGCGGCCTCCCTGCCCCCTAGACCAGAGGCCCACCTACTGAGAGGAGCGGAGAAGGCGGCCCTGGCCCATCCCCCAGAGACGGAGCAGGGCCTGAGGACCATTTATTATTACTTTTTATGTTATTATTATTGTTAATCTTCACCCGAGGACATTTTTCCATTGGTTTTTAGGGAGAGCGGAAGAGAGAGGGAAGGACAGAGAAACACTGATGTGAGAGAATCACATCGATTGGTTGCCTCCTGTACGAGCCCTGACCAGGGCCCGAGCCAGGGAGGACCCTGCAACCAAGGTACATGGCCTTGACCAGAATCAAACCCGGAGTCTGCAGGCGACGCTCTATCCATTGAGCCAAACCAGCCAGGGCCGGAGGCCCATTTAAAGTCTCTAAGGACGATGTTTCAGTTCTAAAGAGGGAGTGTTTGTTGACTTATGGCCACCTCTCACCTGCAGGTGAGCGCTCGGAACTCCTGGTTCGATGCAGCCCAAACAATGACCCTGCACCTTCTGTGCTCGCCCGAGCGCAGGTGCCGAGCTGGACGCCCTGCAAACTGCCCGGGTCTTTGCGATCTCTGTCCTCCTGGGATCACGGTCCCCTGATCCTGAGTGACCGGTCCTCCCGCCGCCTGGCCCAGGCCCCCTCCACAGCCTTAGTCATCGTCCCCGTGCTCGGCTCAGGGTGGACGGAAGCGCTGGGGCCTTTTAAAGTTCAAAGTCCACAACGATAATAAAGAGGCCGTCGGTGTGGGCGGTGGATGCGGGCCAACTGCGTCCCTATGAGCCTCACCCCCGCCCCTGCCCCCCGCCTGTGCACATGCCCTCTCACACCCACACTGGCCACTCCTTGAAGCCATTCCTGCCAGACACCCCCACACCCCCCTTCCCCTATCCAGGCAGCAAGTGTTGAAACCTCCTCTCCCCTGCCTTCCTCTCCCCTGCTGTACCCTCCGACCCTGCGACCCTCTGTCTGTTTGGGCCTCTCCCACCCTCCTCCTGTTCCAGGTTCTGGGTCCTCCCAGTGGAGCTGAGAACAGGCAGTTCCTGCCCCCCCCCCCCCCCACCTCCCGCAGCTCCTGCTTCCCTCCTTTTCCACCTCCCGCAGCTTCCTGGAGAGAGGCCAGGGTGGAAGCCAGCGAGCTGGCCACAGAGCTGCAGGCTCACACCCAGGAGGGCTTAGGGGCCCAGCACTCAGCCGCCAGGCCCTTCCTGGGCCAAGTTCATTTGGGGAGACCTGAGCCATGTGGCTGCGCTTCCCTCCCAGCAGCCTCCTGCTGAGCCCACTGCGCTCACTGCCCAGGAGCCCCCAGAGAGCGGGAGGCAGGGCCGAGGCACAGACACAGGGATGGGTCGCCCTGTGAGCCCCGCAGTGAGAGGTCTGGGGGTCCCCCTGCGGGGCACAGGGCTCAGCTGTTCCGGGAACCCGCTCAAAGCCCCACAAGGAGGGGCAAGGAGGGACCCGTTTCCTGGGGCCGCGGCTCTGATGACTAAGACCGGCCTAACCCAGCGGGAACAGGGGCTCTCCCCGTTGTGGGGCCAGAATCTGAAATCGGGCTGTCGGGGGCTGGGCTCCAGAGAGGGTCCCTCCTGCCTCTTCAGCTGCTGGGGGCTCCCGGGGCTCCTGGCTGCATCCCTTTAATCTCAGCCTCCATCCTCACATGACCCTCCAAGTTCATGTGACCACACCCCCATGTTCGCATGGCCCCACCCCTTATTCACATGACCCTGTTAATGCAAAAAGCATTCAAACCTGTAAAGAATTTCTGTGAGGCCGAAACCGGTTTGGCTCAGTGGATAGAGCGTCGGCCTGCGGACTGAAAGGTCCCAGGTTCGATTCCGGTCAAGGGCATGTACCTGGGTTGCGGGCACATCCCCAGTAGGAAATGTGCAGGAGGCAGCTGATCGATGTTTCTCTCCCATCGATGTTTCTAACTCTCTATCTCTCTCCCTTCCTCTCTGTAAAAAATCAATAAAATATATTTAAAAAAAAAAAAGAATTTCTGTGAGTTTCTTTGAGCCAAACCGTTGACAATCGCCAGGGAGCAGGACCTCAAGGCATTCGGATAATGCTCCGGAGAAGGTAGCTTCTCACCTTGTTGGAGAAATTACCATCAAAGGTGGACACCTAAGTGGGTCACATGAAATCCATTGGTGATAGATTAGGGGGGCGGGAGAAAGCAAGCGGGGAACTCTGGGATTGGACAGAGTGAAGTGATGGACACATGCTCCTTTGACACAGGTGGGCACAGGATAGCTAACAGCGGACAGTTAACACGATATAACAATGACAACGAGGGAACTTGGGAACTTGTGCTTTCCGTAGGGTGCCCTCTGTTGTGTCCTGAGGGTATCTGTTACCCGGATGTTTCACAGGTGTTTTCTTAGCTGCAAAAAGGCAATAGGCTCGTAAAGATGAAGCTGATCTCTGGTCAGGGGCCTGTCACGGAGAGGTGTGGGTGGGGCTGGGTGAGGAGAGAGGGGCTGGCCCAAGCGTGGCTCTCTGGGGCCCAGCTCACCTCTGGCCTCCCTGGTCCCGTCCTCCTCGTGGCTCAGGCCCCTTCCTCCCGCCTTTACTGCGAACTCTGTGCCCACAATGTAGGGCGATGCCAGCTCTGGGTGCTCCCGCCCCGGCGAGCTGGGACCCTCGGAGCACAGGGAAGCTGTGTCCCATGGACTCCCACATCCCTGCTCACATCCCCATCTTCCCACAATGTGCGAACTCACTTGTCCACAGGTCCGGGGCTCCCCCTTTCCTCCTCCCCACCCGCCCCCCAGAAGAATGGAGTCCTGCCTGAGTTGCCTATTTATGTCAACATTCCTGATCTAGACCCAGGTCTCTTCTACGACTGTCTTTCGCACAGGTGGTGCGTGCCTGGCTCCTGTGCTAGCGAGGAGGGTAAAGCCTCTCACACTTGGCCGCATGGTGCCCAAAGGAGAAGCGTGGTTTCGCCGTTTTTGAAGTTTGGGAACAGGGATCAGAGCTGAGCTCGGATCTCACCTCTATGGCTGACTTCGTGACCTCCGGACGGACGCGCCTCTGAAGGAGGCCGGTGAGGACTGGAGGGTTCGCGCACAGGAACCTCAGGGCACCGGGCTCAGACCCAGGCGCCCGCGGCTCTCCGCGCCCGCCCCGCCACAGCCCCCCTCCAGCCGGTCCCGCCCCCAGGCGGCCCCGCCCCTATCAGGCCCCGCCCCCACCCGCCTCTGACTATAAAGCCCAGGGGCACTGGCCCCGCCCCTCTTGCTGCCGGCCCCGCCCCTCAGGCCCCGCCCCCGGCTCGCCTCTGGTTATAAGGTCGCATCCCGGCGCCACCCCAGCCTAGAGCGCTGGCCCGAGCCCCGGGAGCCCGGTTAGAGCTGCACAGCCGCGTCGCACGGTTCCCATTGGTCGGCGGGCGGCCGCCGAGGCGGGCCCGAGCCTGCGATTGGCCGCTGGCGGCTGTGGGTGGCGGCAGGCGCGGTGTCATGGAGGCGCCCCGGGTGCCGCGGGAACCTCGCTCGCCTGCACCGGCGATTCGGGAGGAGCGGCGCGAGCCGCGGCCGCGGAGGAGGTGCGGAGGCCGGGCAGGGCCGCAGTCGGTGGGCAGGCAGGTTCGGGCACCGGACAGCGGCCTCCGGACCCCACGCCTCCGTCCGCTGGTCCTGCACGCCTCGCACCGCAGCTGGCGCGGGACCAGGTCTCCGGACGCCCCCGCGTCCCACGTGTGAATTGAGTCCATGATGCCCGCGCCGCTGGGCCGGGGGTCCTGGGAGGCGCCTGGACCCGGCTGGGCCGGCCGCTGAAGCAGGTTGGGGTGCATCGGAGTCCGTGCGGGACAGGAAGCGGTGCTGGCGGAGCGGGGACTTTGGATCTGGAGGGAGGAGGGAGATTTCAGCGGGGGGAGCAGGAGAAGGAGCGTCCAGCCTGCTAGGCGAGGACGCGATGGCAGACCTGGCCGGAAGCGCTTTGAGCGCTGGGTCGCTGTTGAGCTGCGGGACAGCAAGTAGCCTCCGTAGCTGAAGTAGCTTTCCCCAGTTTAAGGGGCCAGAATGGGCAAAGGCACCGAGGCCTGGGAGGGAGGACATGCCCTGGGCCGGGGCTTCCTTCTTCCGGCCATTCTCGGACCTGGCAGATGGTACACGCCCCCGAATGAACCGATGTGAAGTCCGCCTTCTCGCTGCTGCTCTGGAAAGGAGAAAACCTTTTAAAAATGAAAGATGCTTATTTATCCAGGGTTTTCTGACTCAATGTCGCAACAGTGTTCTTTTCCTCAGAGCAACCCTCCATGGAGACCCTATGTTATACCCCATAGCAGCCCTGCCCTGGGGAGTTAGGGTTCCACGGAACACACTTAGGGAAACGTGGACGGTAGAGGAAGCTTGGCCCCTGCTCTCCTAGGCCCTTAAACTTCCTGGTTCTCGGAGCTGTCCTGCTCCTTGGCTATAGCAAAGCCTGTGAGGTGTGTCTCCTTGGCCTCTGCCGGGTGATACGAGGGTCCGGCGTTCATCACAGCGAGAGGGGGGTGGGGGAGCACGTCTGGCCAAGCAGATGCACGTGTCCGTGGTTTGTTTGTGACTGTCTCCCTCCACGAGCCTCGATGGGGCCTGGTCCCCTCGCTTCTGAGCGTTCTTTTCTTTCCCCTTTTACTTAGAAAAAAGCTTAAAAAGTCCCTCTTTGCTTAGAACCGAGGAGGCCCAGGAGGCAGCAGTCTTTCGTGACGTGGTCCGTTTCGCCCCGGACCCTTTGCCAGGTAAGCGCCCCGGGGTGCTCAGCTCATTGGAGTCTCTGAGCTCACGCCTGGGCTTCCGGCCGGGCTACGGCTTCCTGCCTCAGGTTCTCGCCTGAACAATCCCCGCATTCCCTCTGCTTCCTCTTCTGACCAGTTAGATACTATGACAGGGACACCACCAAGCCCATCAGCTTTTACTTGTCGTCACTGGAGGAGCTCTTGGCGTGGACGCCCGGCGTGGAGGACGGCTTCAACGTGGCCTTAGTGCCCGCCCAGGACCGGCAGCCCCCTCTGAGCAGCCGGCGGCCCCGGACCTTGCTCTGCCATGACATGATGGGCGGGTACCTGGACGACAGGTGAGGACATTGGGAGGAGATCGCCTGGTGGACGGGCTGGAGGAGAGGGAGGGCAGAAAGAGGCCAGGCTGGGGAGGCCGGAGCCGGGCAGAGAGCAGCGCAGGCCTCGGTGTTGTACGTGGAAGAAGAGGGGGTGGGTCGGGGGGAGCCTGGCCGGAAACCTGGCTCTTCCCCCGATGACTTGCTCTCTTTCCCTCCCTGGACTCTGACTCCATCTTGCCCCCTGGCTTTGGCCTTGCAGGCCTGACCAAGGAAAAGGTCCCACAGGCTGTGCAGCCTTCGTGGGCAGGTCTGCACACGCCTCTCCCATCCCCAACCAGGGGCGTTTGCTGCCCCATCAGCGCAGAGATCTCCACCGCCCAGAAAACAGCCCGGGCAGCCGTGCCGGGAAGGCTTGCGGCCGAGCTGGCCATCCAGGGGGGCGGGAGTGGCTGGCGAAACCGGGTGCCTCCCCTGCAGGCACGCTGTCCGGAAGGTGCTACTGCCTCCACCAGAGCAGGACGCCCGACACCTGGAGCTTTTGCACGAATCCTTCTGCCTCTATTTTCTGCTGTTGTGTTCCTCTGGGCATCGAGGAGCTGACGGCGAAGGCTGCACAGCCTGTGGGACATTTTCCCTCCGTGACAGCCCTATGCTACACCCCATAACCGTCCTCCCCTGAGGAGTTAGGGTTCCACAGAACACACTTAGGGAGGCGTGGACTGCTGAGACAGTTTGCCCTCAGGACGGTGGCGTGGTCGGTGTCTGGGTGCCCGGCGCACAGCAGGCCTTTGGTCGGTGTCAACGGGCGGGACCCAGGAGAGGCGTCACTCGTGGTTGCTCTCACCTGGAGGCCGCCGAGTCCTTATTCCAGGGCCCTGACCTGGCTCTGTTCCTCCCCAGGTTCATTCAGGGCTCAGGGGCCCGGAGCCCCTACACCTTCTACCACTGGCAGTACATCGACATCTTCGTGTACTTCAGCCACCACCTGGTCACCGTCCCCCCGGTGGGCTGGACCAACGCCGCGCACAGGCACGGGGTCCGCGTGCTGGGTAAGAGCTGACGCTGCGCCTGCCGGGTGACCCGCGATGACGGGGCTGGCTGTGCTGGGGAGAGCGCCGGGCCTGGGGGCTGCCCTGAAAGGTGGGGACAGGTGGAGGCAGACTCGTGCTGGGGAGCAGATGAATATCTTTAGTTTTGTGGCCGCTGGGTCGCTGTGGAGCTGCTGCTGAGACAGTGAGTCGCCTCCACAGACAACAGGCAGGCAAAGGATGGGCCATGGCCGGCGTGGCTCAGTGGATGGAGAGTCAGCCACGGCAAAGGGTCCCGGGTTTGGTTCTGGTCAGGGGCCTGTACCTTGGTTGTGGGCTTGATCCCCGGCCCTGGACGGATGGATGGATGTGTCTCTCTCACATCGATGTTTCTCTCTGTCTCTCCCTCTCCCTTCCACTCTCTCTCTTAAAAAAAAAATAAATGGAGAAGAGAAATATCCTCGGATGAGGAATCCAAAACAAACAAACAAACAACAACCCAAAAATCAGGTGGCGGCTGACCCCTGGGTGCAGCAGTCTCTCAAGCTTCCCCATCTGGTCCTTCGTTGCGAGTCTCACACCCACGCCGGCCCCGCCCGCCCCGTGTCTGATTCACAGTCACCACAGCGATGCTGCTGGCGCAGGGACCTGCGCACTGGGAGGCGTCGGTCGGAAGGGGAGGTTCCAGGCCTGACCTCGTTCTCCGTCCCGCAGGCACTTTCATCACCGAGTGGACAGAGGGGGGGCAGCTGTGCGAAGCCTTCCTGGCCGGGGATGACCGCTCGTTCCAGGCGGTGGCGGACCGGCTGGTCCTGCTGGCCCAGTTTCTGCACTTCGACGGCTGGCTGATCAACATCGAGAACTCTCTGAGTGTGAGCGCGGCCTTCCTCGTGTTGCCTCCAGGCCCAGCCTCTGCTGCCTCGGGGTGTGCCTCCGCCGTGCCCTCCCCTCCCCTTGCCCACACCCAGGCCGGCTCCCGGCTCCCCATGACAGCAGCTGGGCCGCTTCTCGCTTCCCAGTGAGAGCCCGCTCCTGTCTAGGCTCCCCGTGTGGCTGAGCTTTGCTTCTCTGGCTCCTTCCAGTGGACCCTCCTCCTCCTCCGTCTCTGCTTGGCTTGGGCTGCGTGTGTGGCTTCCTCTCCCGACACCCTCCTTTCTCTTGGGGTTTATCTTTCCTGGCCGCTGTGTCCGCGTCCTTCCTGCTTCAGAGAGGAAAGCGGACGTCCGGCTGGGCCGCCCTCGGGGGCTGTGGGGTGGACGGCTTCTGGGACCCTGGCTGTTTGGTGGGGATCGGTGTCCAGTCTGTCCTGCGCCAGGCACTTTGACAAACACCTCGGGGCCTCACAAGGGTCTCGTCTTCGCCCCTCTGCAGCCGGCCGCCGTGAGGAACACGCCCCGCTTCCTGTGGTACCTGACCACTCAGCTCCACCAGCAGGTCCCGGGGGGCCTGGTGCTCTGGTACGACAGCGTGGTGAGCAGTGGGCAGCTCACGTGGCAGGACGAGCTGAATGAAAAAAACAGGTGAGCCCCCTGGGCGGTGGCACACGTACTCGGCTGCGGGGTGGCAAGGGGTACGCAGTCGCCTGGTTGCCAGGCGCTGTGCGGGGGGTTGTAGGCCATGGTGACGGGCTGGCCCCTGTTCGCGGTCGGGAGACTGCCCACAGCCCGTGGTTGAGTGGATGCAGGTGCTGGGGGGCGGGGAGGGAGACAGTGGAGACCATGGGCCCTCACCTCGGCCCTGCCCTCGTCCCAGGGTTTTCTTCGACTCCTGTGACGGCATCTTCACCAACTATAACTGGGGGGAGGAGCACCTGGTGCGCATGCGGGGCCCGGCCGGGGAGCGCCTGGCCGACGTCTACGTGGGAGTGGACGTGTTCGCCCGGGGAAACGTTGTGGGCGGCCGATTTGACACCAACAAGGTGGGTGGTGGCCCTGGAGGCTGGGGTGGGGGCAGTGGCCTCCCCGAAGCTCCACTGGCTGTGGGCTGTTCACCCCGCTCCCCTCCAGGGGAGACAGGCGCAGTTACCCTTCCCAGATGGGACACCGGGGCACCAGGAAACATCGGTGACCTGCCCCGGGCCAAGCTGGGCCCGAGGCCTAGCTGCCGCCCACCTCTATGGTCAGATGGTACGTCCCCTGGAGGTGCCCGGCCCTGTGCCAGGTCCCCGCTGCCTCCTGTTGGACGATTCGCTGGGCTGCCGTCACAACCGCCGGTGACTCGGGGACAGCAGGGTCACGTCACGGTGCCTCCCTTCGCGGGCAGCTCGGGGCTGAGGATGGAGGCGGCCCCTGCCGTTTGGGAGCCGCTGTAGCAACTGGTGAGGCTCCGGCAAGTGGAGCCCTGTCGGCAGCGAGAGGAGAGCCGGCCGGGGCACCGGGCCGCTGTGCCTACTGCGACTTAAACGGAGTCAGCCCGCTCCGCTGCCACGCCTGCCCCTTGCTGGGTGCCACGGCGACGGTCCCACTCCTTACCCGAGCTTGAGTGATTCCGATTCCATTAATCTGCTAACGAGATTCGCGCCTCCCGCCGTGCGTGTGACAACATGATGGGAGGCGGGGAGAGACAGGCAGCCGTGGACACGCCACCTGCAGACCCCTGCCCACCGGCCGGTTCCCGGTGGACGACAGGGACCAACCTGGAAAGCCAGGGAGTTGGAGGGGGGGCAGCCCAGCCTCCTTCCCAGGCCCGCCTGGCACTGGTGTGTCCTGCTGTGCCCAGCGTCCCTGACCGCTGTCTCCGCAGTCGCTGGAGCTGATCCGGAAGCACGGGCTCTCGGTGGCCCTGTTCGCGCCCGGCTGGGTGTACGAGTGTTTGGAGAAGACGGAGTTCTTCCAGAACCAGGACAAGTGAGTCCTGCCCGGCCCGGGGCTGCATGCGGGCTGACGGCGGCGGGGGGCTCGGGGCTGCGCTGGCTTCTCCGAGCGGCTCGGGCCTTGCTCTCGGGCGCTGGTGGAGGCAGGCGGACAAGCGGCAGCACCTTGGCTGCTTCCAGGGGGAGCGTCCCGGAGCCTCGGGGGGCTGCACCCACGTGTGCACCTCCCACACATCGTGTCCGTGGTCCGGGGGCCGCAGTTGCTCTGCAGGGGGTGGGGGAGCGCCCGCGTCCGTGAGGGCTCAGGGGCGTCGAGCGCCCTCCACTCCGGACTTCAGCGCCCCCCCCCCCCCCCCCCCCACCACCTTCCTCTGCAGGTTCTGGAGTTTGCTGACTTGCTACCTGCCCACCCACAGCATCTGCTCCCTGCCCTTCGTCACCTCCTTCTGCCTGGGCATGGGCACCCGCAGGGTCTGCTACGGCCAGGTGTGTGGTCCCCAGCCTGGGTGGCTGGGCAGTGGGGCTCCCTTTTCTCCATGCTCTGGGCCTGAGCGAGGGAGGAGGGGCCTGGGCGTTCATGAGGGGCCGATGGCGGCTCTGCTCTCCCCGTCACTTCCCTGCACACCCTGCCGCGTGCCCGCAGCCGCCTCCAATCCTGCTTTCTCTCCAGGAGGAGGCGGTGGGGCCCTGGTACCACCCGGGCGCCCAGGAGCCGCAGCCCCTGTTTGGGGAGCACAGGCTGGAGGGGCCCGGGGAGGGCTGGGTGAGGATGCACAGCTGCCTGGCCGACGCCTGGAACGGCGGCAGCTCCCTGCTCATCCGGGGGAGGATCCCGCCCGAGGTGGGACACGTGGCTGTGAGGTAGGTGCCTGGGCGGGAGGAGGCGCGGGTCCTCCGCTTCCCCCGGTGTCCCGTGGACCCACTGGCTGGGTGGCTGGGCGGCGGAGCCGGGGGAGGACGGAGGGCAGAACCCAGGCGGTTTTATGGCAGCGAAAAGCACGTCACACACTCGACCACCTGACCCGGTTCTGAGCGTCCACGTGTGAGCTCCGCGCACTGTGCGGCCTCTCCGCACTCACCTGGCAAAACTGGAAGCGTCCCCACGCCCCCCCCCTCCCCCGGCCCACCAGCCCGCGGCCGCGCCACGCTCTGGTCCTGTGGGGCGACTCCTTAGCTCCTCGTCGGAGGACTTCAGAACAGGGATTTCTCAGTCACGAGGGGGTCTGGCCTGGGGGACGGCCGTCCCCAGCGTGGCAGGACCGGGGTGTGGCAGCCGGTGCCGCCCCAGTGCCCTGTCCCTGGAGGGAGAGGGGGGCCCGCCTGGCGGCCGGGCTCTCAGCTGTGGCCTCTCATCGCAGGACCTTCCTTCTCCAGGTTGTTCTCCCTGCAGGTCCCGGTGCCCCCCAAGCTCTTCCTGTCCCTGGTGTATAAGCTGGAGGGGACGTCGGAGGTCAGAGTGGCTCTGGAGCTCACCACAGGGGACGCGGGCAGCTGCTCTGTCGGGGGCATCTCGGCGTTGAATGGTGAGGGGACCGAGCTGGCTCCTGCCTGCCTCTCAGGTCTCTTCCTTCTCGGGACGCTTGGGGGGGAGGCATCCAGAAGGTGGGGGTCCGGGGAGCTGGTGTGGGCAGTGCCCGGCATCCGCCTCTGGGGGGGGGGACGGCACCACTGTGGCCCAGCTCAGGGCGGGGGTCGGCTCTCAGCCTCCTGCTGGTCGTGGCATCAAGAGGGAGGACACCCAGGCCAGGAGACCGCGGAGGGAACTGTCTTGAGCACCCACCCACATACTTGCCTCCGCCCCGCCCTGGTTTCCCGCTGCGGCCTCAGCCTGTCGGGGAGGCCACGGGCGCCGGGGGCCACGGGGGTCTGGCCCAGCCCCGGGCCCCCCTCAGGGACTCCTGGTGTGGCTTCTCCTCTTCCTCAAGTCCCGTGTCCTTTCCCAGCAGAAACCAGCTCCCGGCACAGACCCCGACCCCTGCGGGTGCCCCCCACCAAGCTGGCCAGGTGGGCGGCCCGCTGTGGCCAGCAGCTCGGCGGGGGCTGGGTCCAGCGGTGAGTCCCTCTCCTTCCTGTCCAGGCCCCCGCTGGTGGGGACTGGAGGTGTGCGAGGGCCCCTGTTGAGAAATCCCAGAACTGGAGGGATGGAGGGCGCTGGACTGACCCACGCCCCAGGCAGCTCCCGGGAGCCAGCCACGCGCCCTGGGCGCGGCCGTGGTCCCGCCTCTGGTGCAGGGCTCCCCACGGACACCAGGGTCCACTTGGGATGGGTCTGCCTTCCCGCCGCAGCTCGGGCCTCGGACAGCAGCTGGGCGCCCGGGCTGCTGTGGCTGTGACCGCCGTGACCCGCGTCTCATTGGCCTCCAGCTGCTACGAGCTGAGCCTGCGCAGCTGCTTCCTGCAGGACCTCTTCGTCAGCTTCTCCCGGACTCCGGGCAGCCAGGAGGAGGAGGACTTCGTCTGTCGCCTCGGGGAGATCCAGGTCAGGCATCCGGGGCGCCTCGTTGGGGGCTCGGCTGAGGCATCTGTCCCAACGCCCAGCAGGCAGAACGCCGCCTGAGCTGAGCGCCCTTGTCCTCTCCCCGCGGGCTCAGGGAGGCGGGTGGGGATGCCGGAGAGTGGGGCGCGCGGGGCTTCCCAGCCATGCCGTGCCTTCTCTCCACCAGGTGGTGGACGCCGACAGCCTGCTGAGCCCTCTGCCCCAGGTGCAGGCCCTCTCCGTGTCCAGGGTCGGCTGGCAGCGGGCGGCCCCGGAAAGCACGGGCCCCCCGACCAGGCTCCGGCTCAGCTGTACCCTGCACTGGTCCTACCCGCTGCCCCACGCCCGCTGCTTCCGGATCCACTGTCGCCCAGGGGCCGGCGGTGGCCCTCCCGGCACGGGGCCCGCGGGGCCGGAGAAGCCCACGCTCCTGGGCCTGGCTTTTGCCAACCAGTACCGTGTCGTGGACCTGGCGGTGGCTGAGGCCCAGCCCGGCCAGGACGGCCGCATGGAGTTCCTGGTGGAGCCGGTTCCCAGGGAGGGGTTCCTGGTGCCGCAGGCCGAGTGGGGCCGGGCGGCCCTGCTGTACTCTGTGCCCAGCACATGAGCGGACACCGAAGCCCGAAGCCGGCCCCACCGCACGGCCGGGGCTCCTTGCACGCGGGGCCGTGGACTGTGCAGACAGCGGCCCAGGACCTGGGGCCCATGGCTTTCCGGGTGGGGCCTTGGTGGCAGGAACACCGAGGAGTCGGTGCTCTGGGTGCTGATTCCCTGAGGTGCCTGGACCCCGCCTTTGTGCAGTCTCTCTCTGCAGCACACAGTTCCCGGGGAAAGTGGGAGGATTTGGGAAAGTCGAGTCCAGAAAATTCCATAAAGGGCGTTTCCTAACAGGCTGGCGCTGAGCATGGCGACTTTATTCCGCAGGTGGAACAATTAGGGACGAGCTTCCGCTGTGGCAGGAGGGCTTCAGAGCAGGCCCTGGGGACATTGCTGAGGGTGCCGACGCCAGCAGAGGCCCGTGGGGTTCAGTGAGGGGTGGGTGCAGGGTGCTCCCGGAGATGGCGGTGGGAGCCCAGGGCCAGGCCAGCAGCGCGGCACCTGCAGACCGCCGTGGGCTGTGGCTTTCCCGGCTCACTGCCCCCTGGGGCCCAGAGCATTGCCACTGGCTGCGCCTGCTGTCTCTCCAGCAGGTGGGTGTGGGGGGAGCTGGCATTGTCTGCCCCTGGGCTCCGCCTCTGCCTGTGAGTGTGGATCCAGGCTTGGGAGCAGGGGGCCCAGGCAGGCCCAGGTGTCAGCCCAGTCCCCCGCCTCCCTGTGCCTTCACAGCCCCCTGGCCTCTCCCGGGGCGGGCGCGAGCAGGGGTGTGTGGGCAGCAGCCTCTGCCCTGTGGCTCCTTTCTCTCTCTCCCTTCTCTCCCCAGCACCTCCCTGCTCCCTCCAAGGGCCAAGGTGGCCAGTGGCCTCCGGGGAGGAAGGAGAGGGAGGTGGCTTCTCCAGCCATGGCTGAACTGCTGTGAAGCTCCCTGGGGGCGGGGGTGGGGTTCTCCACCCCATGGCCTCGGGGAACCCTGCTCCTCTCTAGTGCCCCAGGGGACCAAGGCCTTAAGTCCCTCGTTCTTGGGGTCCCTCACCCCAGGCCTCCTAGGCCAGTGATGGGGTTACTTCCCCATCCCTATGGCCCTCGACCTCTGCTGCGAGATGCGGAGTGGCTCTAAGGCTGGGACACTGGGGTCCCCTCCCCACTGCCTTGTGTCCAGGCTCGGGGTCAGCACTGTAGTGACGGGGGAGGCCACCAGGTGGCAGTGCAGCCTCTGCTCAGGCCCAACCGCATTGGGAGGGGTGCAGGGTGCAGGGGTCGCTGGCTACATCCGAGACTGGGGGACAGCCTAGGGCAGCGGTTCTCAACCTGTGGGTCGTGACCCCTTGGGGGTCGAACGACCCTTTCACAGGGGTCGCCTAAGACCATCGGAAAACACATATATAATTACATACTGTTTTCGTGATTAATCACTATGCTTTAGTTATGTCCAATTTGTAACAATGAAAATACTTCACATATCAGATATTTACATGACGATTCATAACAGTAGCCACATGACAGCTATGAAGTAGCAACGAAAATAATTTTATGGTTGGGTCACAACATGAGGAGCTGTATTAAAGGGCCGCGGCATCAGGAAGGTTGAGAACCACGTGCCTAGGGGCTCCGGACGACGCTGCCTCCACCCCACCTGCCCTGGCGTCCCAGGAGCCCGTGCCCCTCCTCCACAGCGCGCTCCGCGATTGGGAACATCTGCTCCTCACGCCCCACACGTGTGGCCCAGCAGCTCGGGCGGGAGGAGGGCCCCGGCCGGCCGGGCAGGGAGACCCCATGTGGGCTCGGCTTTTCTTGGTCTTGACCGTTCCCCCCAGCGCCCGAGCCCCTCGTTCTGAGCCAGGGGGCTGCTGCCCTTTTCCCGACGTGGGACCGGGCGGGGCGGGCTGGGCGGCTGGGCACCCGGGGCGGGCCGCACCTGGGACAGATTTCACGAAGCCCTTTTTCTGAAAGCGCTGGCTCCCCGCATACTTGCTGCAGAGGAGGGGACACTTACAGCGGCAATCATTTCCTCACCGTCTGGTGAGCAAGCAAAGTGGGGGCTCAGCCAAGCTCCACGCCGCGGAGGCCCCCAGCACTGCGCCCCAGGAGCGCGGGCCCCGTCCCACCACCCGCCAGGGCTCACGCAGGAAAATCCACATGTCGGCACTGAAGCCGGCCCCCGCCCGTCCCCCGCGGGAGTAACAGCTCCGAAATACATTACCCGCCTGGAGGAAGCGAACAACTCGTCTGTGAGAAGGCTCGGGCTCCGTGGCGTCGGTGTCGGCCTGCCCCAGCCCCCACGCCCAGGGCTTCTAAGCTCAGGGTCCAGGATCTGCTGCTCCCCCCTGGTCACCTCTCCTCTTCCCCGGGCGGCGGGGTGGCCACACCCCTCCACACCCCTTCGCGCCCGGCCTCCAGGAATGGGACCACTGGCCGGAGCAGAGGGCTCACCTCGCAGGAGCAGAGTCACACCAGCAGAGCCGGGGCTGTGGGCGGATCGTAGTGACCTGCCCAGCACCACTGACAGCAGGCCCCCCACCCCCACCCCAACCCCCTCCGGCCTGGGGCTCAGTGCAGCCAGGCTGCCTCCCGGGACACACCAGCGCCCTCCGCTGCCCTCCACCCTGTGTGTCCAGGGGCTGCCCAATCAGAGAGCTGTCCTGGTTTGAAGAAAGAAATCTTTATTAATAATCTTAATAATAATACTGTGGATCTGAAGGGTCACACCTGGGAAGCATACAGAATGGTAAGAAAGGAAGCCGGGCCTGGCTGAGGCCGGGGCGGGGCCGGGCGCAGCGGCGGGAGAGGGCCAGCTCGGGGCTCTGTACACGGAGTAGAAAAGGCAGCGCTCGGAGCGGGTGCGGATACAAAGTGAGGTGTGGTCCTGCCCTTCCTGTTTTGGGAGGGGGGAGCCATGGTGGGAGCCTGGGTTTTGTGGGGGTTTTTTTGCTATTTTTTGCTGTTGCCCCGACTCCAGCTATCTGCCTGGCCTGGGGCTTTATCCTGTGACCTGCCGTCTGCATCCCCCTCCCCACCCAAGGTCTTCCTCCTGCCCCCCGCCCCCCATCCCTGCGCTGGCCTGGCCGTCTCGTCCCATAGCACTGTGACTCCCAGCCTTGCTGTGCAGCCAGGCGCCAGCCCGTCCCTTGGCCCCTCGCAGGCCTGCCCTCAGCAGGTCCCATGAGGCCAGCTGTCCCTCCCCAGACCAGGCGCAGAGCCACCTCCAGACAGGAAACCAGAAACAGCCAGTGGGAGCACGTCCGTGGCCTCCAGGCCCCCACAGCCCCACATTCTCAGGTGCAGGAGTCAGTCCCTGCTGGCTGGCCGGCCCGGGAGCCCCGTCATGTGGAGGGAGGGGTACCTGGGCGCCCCCTAGTTCTGGAACCACGTCAGCCCTTGGTGTGGGGGTCGGACCCCAGGGCTGCTGGTGGGACAGCCGCAGTGGCCTGCAAACGCCTCCCCCAGGTTTGCAGGACACGGGCGTTGGTGGCATGGCGTGAGGGAGAGCTGGGTCCAGAGCAAGACACAGGGTGACTGGGCGTGGCCGGAGCCAGAGCCGGGGAATGGAAAGCTGCCCCCTCCCTGTGCCCGGGGCCTGGCCGTCCCCTCCACTGGCACAGTTGGCAACAAAGATCAGGTCCTGCCGGCTCTTCCCCGGGAGGCCAGGCCTCTGCGGGCCCACAGTGCGGGAGCGGCGGGGCAGGAAGACTGGACAGGAAGCGGCGGGCCCTCCCTCTCGCTTGCTCCTGGAGGGCGCGGCCGCTCTCCTCCCGCCGACTGCTCTTCGCGGTGGCACGCGGGACCTGGGCGTGGTGCATGTGTCTTGTTTGGTTGGTTTTGTTGCTGCTTGGATCTTAACATCTTTTTTTGTTTTGTTTTTTGTTTTGTGATTTTTTTGTTTGTTTTTTGTTTTTGCCCTTCACGGTCCGAGAAGGAAACAGTGGACGCTGTCACTACAACAGAAACAGAAAGGGACTAGCAGTTTCCGGAAGCCGCCGTGGGCGCTGAGGATGGGCCCGCCGAGGGCAGGCCGAGACCTGCGGGGACGGGTGGTGCTAGGGACGGCCTGGACCCCCAACCACCCCCACCTGTCCTCCTGCCCATCTCTAGGACCCATCATCGCGCGAGAGCTGGAGTTAGAGGGGACGTCTGTCCCCCAGGGCAGAAGGTGGCCGGAATGGAGGGGCCACAGGGGACCCGGTGGCAGTGGGGCTCTGCTGAGGTGGGCAGGGGCCTGGCTGGCTCTGGTAGGAAGGGGGTGAGGGGGTGGCCACGTGGCACGAGGCAGCTGAGAAGGCGGTGCTCTGGGCCTGATCTGCCCACCCACCCGCAGGGACCAGGCCCGGCTGGCGGGACCCTCTCTCGGGCCCTCAGCCCCAGAAGCTGGTCGGGCAGCTCCAGCAGCACACCAGGCCCCTGGCCGCCTTCTCCTGTCACCAAGGTGCGTGGCAAGGGCCTGGCCTGGGTGGCGGACTCTCCAGAGGCTCCCTGGGCTGCAGCCGCAGCCAGCACCTCCTCCGGGGCCCGCGCCCTGGGAGGGTGTGAGCTCACGGGGCCCCCCTAGATGACCGGCTAACACGCAGCGCTGTGCCCAGGTGGGCGCCACCCGCTCCCTCGGAAACAGACCCCGATCAACAGGCTTTTCTGAGCTCGGGGCAGGGCAGGGGCCGTGGCTCCGGTGAAACACCAGGCCCGGCGGGCCGCGACCCGTCTCGGAGGACAGCGGGAGGCGGGCGCTGCGGGCAGAGCCGTGGGCCGCCAGGCCTCCCAATGGGGAAATTCTTCCTTCGCTTTGGCTTCTGACGACAGAGGCTAAGGCGCCCCTGAGGCTGGTGTGGCCCTGCGGGCAGCAGGCACTGCCCATACAACGCGATCAGCACTGGGTCTCAGCTGGTGGGGGGGGCACTGTCCTGCCCACACCCCGGGACGGTGGCCCGGGCTGGCCTCCTGAGCCCGGCATCTTCCGTGGCTCTTACACCCCTGCACGGGCGTGGACCGCCCTGTGGGCGTGGCTCTATTGCTAGCTCGGGAGGGTCCTCTGCCCAGCGTGGCCCCGCCCCTCTGCGTACTGTACCTGAACCGGCTCGGGGGTGGGGAACACAACAAGTCAGAATCGGAACCAAGGTCTCAGACAAACCAGGGTCAGACACACACGCCATCGTGGGGGCCAGTCAGCGAGCCGCTGGCCGGGAGGGCGCACTGTCCTCCTGTGGCCGGGCCTGGCCTGGGTGCGGGGTGTGGTGTGTGCTACAGTCTGACTGCTGCTAGGGGCGGGCCTCTTGCTAGTAGGGGGTGAAGCGGCTGTGCCCCCCTCGGCAGAGGCTAGCCTGCAACATCAAAGATGGAAAACAGCCCATCAGTGCCGCCTTCCCGGAGGGGGCGGAAAAGCAGAGAGAAAAAAATAAGAAGAACCAAAAGAGTAATAGTGAACCCCCGTTTTCTGCCCCCCTCGCGGTTTGCCTGGGGGAGGGTGGGGGTGGCTGTTCTGGCCGCGGCGGGTGGGGGAGGCCTGGGGCCTGGGCCTGTTTCTGGTGCCGATGGTCTCATCTCTGGCTGGGGGGGGGGGGGGCGCGGAGGGGGGGGCGGCATCTGCAGCCACGGGCTCCTGGGTGAGGTGTGAGTGTCCTGGGGACTCTGGCTCTAGCCTGGCCCTTTGTTTCCCTTCTCCTTCATCCGGGAGGTCTGAGCAGGAGCCCTACTCCTGGCGCCCCAGGACTGCTGTGGGGTCTGAGTCCTCCAGATATGGGGGTGGGGTGGGGACCCTGTCAGGGTTCCCCGGCCTTGGCTTCTCTGACATTCTTGCTGTCCCGGGCTCAGCTCCGGGGCCGGGGAGGCCTCTACAGAAACCTCCCACCCCACCCACCAGTTTTGTCAGAAAAGGCAAGAGAACAGCAAGGGCCAGAAAAGTTGGGGGAAAAATAGAAAAACCTTAAAAAGAAAAAAGAAAAAACCTAAATGGGGCCCTCGGAGAGCTCACGAGGGCCTTTAGCGAGCAGCTGCGCGGAGGGCTGAGCCGATCCCGGAGCCGAGGGGCTGGGCGCCCAGCGCAGGGCTCCATCCGGGAGGGGGCCTCCCAGGGGCTGCTGCCCGGCTGCCAGCACTCCCCGCGCCTGCTGGGGTGTCTGAGGCTCTTAAAGATCAAAAACGCAGAGCAAAGCCCGGGAGGGCGTCATCAAAACCAAAGGAGGTGACGACACCCCATGGCGCCGCCCGCCCCCCCCTCACCCCCAGGCGTTTTCATCTTTGATGCTGGACTCCGCTAGCTAATGCCCCGCCGGGGACAGCCTGGGGGCGGCGGTCAGGGGCAGGTGTCCACGGGAGCGGGCTTCGGGGCAGAGCGGGCCGGGCTCTATGTGCTGACAGCAGGCGCGCACACACACACACACACACACACACACACACACACACACACACAGACACACTGGCTCTCAGGGGTGCGCCCGTCCGGAGCTGGCAGAGCGGCCCATCCCCAGGGAGGGCCTCCAGGCAGGAGCCGGGTGGGCAGCCCTGTTCCCCATCCACGCAAGGGAAGGCACAGCAGGGGGGCAGGACGGGACTACGGCACAGACACACCCACACGAGGGGGCCCTGCCTGCCTCTGGAGCGGCTGCGGGGAGGGCTGGTGGGTTTCCTGCGGGAAGGGAGACCCCGCTGGGCTCCAGGGCCGCGCCAGGACGGTCAGGGGCCAGACGTCGTCCCTGGGCAGCTGGCTGGCAGGGCACACCCGCTTCCTCCTCACTCCACGAGGGCACGAAGGGCCAGTCCCCACCCCCAACTCAAAGGCAGGCCTTGGTGCTCCCCGCCACCAGGCCTGAGGCTCTGGCCTGTGTTCTGAGTGGGTCTCCCCAGGACCTGCCTGTGTCCCCTCCCCCCTCCTCGCACGGCCGCGCCCAGGCCGGCCCGCCAGCCTCCTTACCATGGTCCCGATGCTGTAGGCGGCCGTGGGGCCGATGGGGTGGTGGTAGGGGTCGGCAGCTGTGTAGACTCGGCCGTAACTGGGGAGACAGCACGGGGAGGGGTGGGGCGAGGGGGGCAGGTGAGGGGGCACTGACCCCCACCTCTTCCCAGACATTTCCTGAGCACCTCCCGGGCGGCGGGGTCCCTCCCTGGCACACCCTCCCCATGGTCCCCCTGCCTGCTTGGAAGGAGGGGCCGTCCACACTGGCCACCCTCTCGGTGCCCCCCCTGTGCCGACGTGGGGGGACCTGCTCTGTGAGGTGCCCCGGGACCAGAAAAGGGGCCTCACCGCTCGCATGGAGGAAAGACCCCTGGAAAGAAGGAGGCCACGTTCGGGGAAGGGGCTCAAAGATGGGAAGGTCCGGGGATGTGGGGGGCAGGGACTTGGCCACAGGAGGGAGGTGGCCTGTGCCCCTCTGCGACCTTCCTTTCACTCAGTACATTTCGTGGGCGAAATGCCAGCTTCTCAGAGGCCGGGGCCGGGCGGGGCCTGCCGTGCACCTGACACACACCTGAGCCGAGAGGCTGCGAGGAAGGTGTGGCCTGGAGACGGGGTGCCGCCTCGCACCGGGAGGGAGGACCAGGCGGTCCCCAGGCCAGAGCTGCCCCCTTAGAGTGCGGGCATGTGCCCTTTCCCAAGCGGCTCTGAGGCCAATGGGCTGAGTGCCCACAGGGAACGGTGCCAGCTGGGCCACGGTGGGGGACCCCTGGATCTGACCACAGAACGCACAGCACCCCCCCTCCCCCCAACCCCTGGGCGGAGGCCACTGCTCTCAGGGTCACAGCCCTCCCCACCTGGTCCTGTCACACAAGAGGCTGTGGCCACAGCCGCCTTCGCCTGGAAGCACCTTGGACCGAGGGCAGGCGGGCGGGGCCTCCAGAGCTGGGGGAGGGGCTGTCTGCTCCCTGAGAACTGGGGTCTCCCGCCTCCCCGCCGTGAAGCAGGGAGTGATGACAGCAGCTGTTTGGGGGTCTCCAAGCCCATTCAGACCTGCTCTCCTCTGTCCAGACCCTGCGCCCACGTGGGGAGCCATCCCCAGGCCCCTGAGCAATGGGTGGGGCTTCTGGTCTGTGGGATCCCCGTCCCCAGCGTACCTGTCGCTGTAGGCTGCTGCTGCTGCTGCTGCCGCCGCGGCGGCGGCCGGCTGGGCGTATCTGTAGGCGGCATAGCCTCCCTGCAGGGCACAGGGGAGGGGAGGTCACAGGGGCTTAGTGGGGCGGCCACAGCCTTTCCACCTCTCCTGTCTGCTAGCCGGTGGGGGCTGGGGGCACCTGGCTGGGGGCCTAAGGGAGGCCCGTGGACCGCACGGTGCGGGGGTGGGGAGGAGGGCGTCCGTCTGCGTCATGCGTTCATTCACTCATCCTTCTTGCGTTCCACACACACAGGTGGGCGCCCACTACATGTCAGGCTGAGTGTGAGGCTGTAGCACCCCTGCCACCAGGCCAGTGAGCCCGAGGGGCATGGGGAGCCCACGGCTGGCTCTGGGTGCCATCCTGGCAGCGGGGAAGGACGGAGGACATTAGCTCCGGGCACGCCCTGGCACAAAGGGGCGTTGTGTTGGGCCAGGTCTGTGTGTGGGGTGGGGCTCTGAGCCAGAGGACGGTGAGTGCGGCCCCACGAGGTGGGGAGAAGGCCCCTCCCAGGGGTCTGCCCAGGGGCCCCTGCCTCCTAGTCTCTCAGGCCTTGCCCCTGCGGCTCCTTCAGGGACCCCGGTGTGGTTAGGGACACAACACCTTGCACAACGGGAGGCATGCGGTGGCTCATGGGCTGTTGGGAGACGCCTTGCTACTCCCAGCGTCAGCACGGGTAACCCCGGCGTGGCTGTGTGCGGTCCCAGGGGTGCAGTGCCCTCACCCTCCTGGGTTCTGAGAAGGGGAGAAGGGCAGGGGTGTGGGGCAGGGGAGAGGAGCCGGGTTAGCAGGGCGGGGGTGGGGGGGGGAGCGGGCAGGGACTGAAGTCGCTGACGGCTCCTGGAGGGGAGCTGGCCGGGCCCCCCCCTCCGGGGCGGCACTTACATAAATCTCAGCACCATAAAAGCCGTCCTGATACACGACCCTGGAAGCAAACGGACAAGAGAGTGGTGGGAACGCTGGAGAGGTGCCCGGCTCCGGAGGCTGCGGAGGGAGGGGGCAGGGTGCCAGCCCTGCCCATGGGACTGGCATTTTAACAAGCGTTTGCTCCAGCGCCCTGTTTGGCACAACAACAGAGTAACATCCTTGCCGTCAGCTCCGTTCTCCCACAGACCCAGGGGCCTCGGCCCACCTTGCTTACCCGCCCCCCGCTGCCCCCCCGTAGCCGGGCGCTCGGCCCCAGGGACAAGGTGCAGCTGGGCTCAGAGGGCCCACCGACCTCCAGGGCCAGCCAGAACCCCACTGCAAACATCTGCTGGGGCCCCAGGTGTCCCCTACATGCCAGTGACCTTTGGCTCCGGGGGGTGGGGGTGGGGGGGTGGGCCTGGGTCACTGCCCATCACAACGTGGCTGCAGTGCCAAGATCTGGGGGTTCCCTAGCCCCCGCATATAGGCTGCCTACCCCGTCTGGTTGCCCCAGGCCGCCCTCCCCACACCCCTGGGCCTTTCTCCACGCCTCCCTCCCGGGGCTCCCAGGTACTCACGCTCCATACGCGGGGATGGGGGGCGGGGGCGGCGCAGCCCGGAACGTATTGTACACGGCCCGGCCCCGGCCCCGCAGGTGCGCGCCCCTGTAGGCCACGGCCGTGCCCGTGGTGGGGTAGGGGAACCCCGTCACTGCGGAGAGCGGGCGGGAGAGGGGCAGTGTGAGTGGGAAGGCCGAGATAGGGTGAGGGCACCCCATGCCCGGCCCGGCCCACAGGCCCCGACCACGCCCCTCCAGACCACGCCCCCGCGCACCTGGCCACACCCGCCCGGCCACGCCCCCCACCAGCCCCCTCCACCGCTTCAGCTCTTTACCTGCATAGAATTCAGGCCCATAGACGGCGCCCACCACGGGGTTGAGCTTCCAGCCTAGATCAGAAGCAAGGAATCCAATCACCATCTCCCCTCCGCTCCCCTCCGCACACTGCACCTGAGACACCCCCCCCAAGGGCGTGGCCCCTCCCTCTGCAATCTGGGCGGGTACAGGAGGTGGGACCCCCATCCCCACCCCTGCCTCTTCCAAAGCTGCAGGCTCTTACTGCTCCCCAGTCACAGGGGCCGGACCACTCCCCACCCAGGCGGCTCTGGTCTCCTTGAGTTTTCCTAAATGATGGCCCTCCCTCCCAGCATGCCCTGGGCCTCTCCTGCCGGAAGGACACCAGCCCCACACCCTGGGGTCTGCGATCCCCGAAGCAGGATTAGGGAGGGAGGGTGGAGCACGGTGTGTAAATGCCTGCAGGCCCCCGTGGGGATGAGGGAGTCGGGGGGCACGACAGAGCCCCTTCCTGGGGGTGCTGTCTCCTGGGGCACCTGGCTGCCTTCCTGGAGGGTCAGAGGCTGAGAAAGGTGGCCGGCCTCTGCCCAAACCTCCTCCCACCTCCTGCCCCAGCGTGTGTGTCCCAGGACGAGCTCCCAGGGCCCCTCTCCCCAGTGCTGAGTCCTCTCCCGCTGTCCTCCTGTGTTTGTCCCCAGAGCAGCCAGTGCAAGGTGCTGGGGCAGAAGGGCCTTTGGCTTCAAATAATAATGACAGGACAGCTGGCCCTTCCCAGGCACTTTACAGCATCCTGCTGTTCAGAACCCCCCCCACTGAGGTCGGTGGCCACCCTCCCATTTCACAGATGGACAAGTGGAGGCTGAGAGGTGCCGCAGCCTTGTGTCACAGAGCTGGTGTGTGCCAACCCATTCCTGCCACTCCCTGGCCCCCAGCCGTATCCTCACCAGCCTCTCCCTCCCTGCAAGCCAGCCGTTCTGGGCTGGCTGCTCCGGCTGCCTCCCTCCCCCACCAGGGACCCGGGGCACAGCACAACCGAGGCCTCCGGGAGGAGACCAGCCGCTTTGAGTGGGCTCTGGCCCCAGGCATTCAGACAGCGTGCCCACTCTGGGCAGTGGCCTTGCTCCTCTGGGGCCATTGTCCGCACTGTCCGTGGGCCGCCGTCACTGGTCCCATCACAGACGGCAGACTTTGTGTCTGAACGCTGCTGCTGGCCAGGAGCCCATCCACCTCCGGGGAGGAGGGAAGAACCATCTGTCTCCTGGGGAGACCTCCAGGCCCAAGAACTGGGTCTCTCGGGTGAGGGTCCAGGACGGAGCAGAGTCCCAGAGGCAATGACCCCAGCTGCCTCCCCGGCTCCGCCGGTGGCTCTTCTCCGCCCTCTCAGAGGCCGGCCTGCGCCTCAGCTGCCCTGGCGCCTCCACCTGCCGACTCTGGCCCAGTGCACCGTCAGGGGCCCCGGATCCGAGGCCGGGGTCCACCTGGGCGGTCCCATGTTTTGTGTTAACGGCAGCACCTGCCCAAACGCGGCGCGCTTGTTTTACGCAGCGAACTCTCTCACTTCTCTCGGCAGCCGGCACGGGGCATCAGCCCTTCGTTTCCAAAGAGGACCGGCCACTCCCGCTCGGCTCGGGGCCAGGTGCACAGCAGACGGTCCGGCGGGGCCAGCAGGACTCGCTCTGGCGGCCTCAGCCTCCCAGGACTGCCAAGGCCCGGTTGCCTGCCCTTCATCACCCACTCAGCACAGCACCTCCAGCCAGGCCGCCCTCAGAGCTTGGAAATGAAACTCCGGGAAGTGGCCGCTGAGCCACTGTGTGAAGCCTGTCCATGTGGCCTCGGGGTGCCACGCACGCCTGGGGGTGCCGCCCCCCCCCCCCGACAGGGCGAGCTGAACATGGAGGCGCCGAGCACCCAGGGAGGTCAGCCTCCAGGGCCGGCGGTGCCCCCACACCTCCCGGGCCCCGGGCGCCTTACCGTTGGTGTAGTGGTTCGACGTCTTCTTGTTGGTCATGACTCGGGCTGTGGCGTTATTGACCTGCTCAGAGGCGGGGAGAGGGGAACATTAGCGTCCGTGGGGCCATGGGCCCCCCCAGTCCTGCTCTGCGCTTCTGCCCCCCGCCCCCCGCCCCCGGTCCTGTCCCAGGGCACCAGGCGGAGGCACAGGAGCCGCTGCCGCCAGCCTGGCCTCCCCCCCCTCCTCTCTGCGGTGCTGCCGCCTCCAGGGAGCCTTGGCCACCCCCCAGCTCTGGCTGCTGCCTGGCCCGGCCTGGCCCTGGCTCAGGCACTGGGTCTGGACCTGGCTCTTGACCTTTACATGGCTGTTCCACAAGCCAAGCCCCAAGGTCACGGGAGACGCTGCCTGGTGGCCTCTCGTCAGAGCCTCTCGGGCCACTAACAGACCTGCCCCCGGGCAGTCTCCACCCCAGGAGGCCGAGGGCACCACGGCGGCCACCCCTCCTGGCCAGAGCTTTCTGATGTGCCCATGGGAGGCAAGGCCCGCGAGGGAGGGGCAGGCAGTGCCATGGGTGGTCCTCCTCTCCAGGCCTCTAGGCCCGGTCACTGACCGGGGTGGGAAGGGGCAGGAGCAGGAAGAGGAGGAGGAGGAGGAGGAAGAAGGCCCCTTGGGAAGGGAGCGGAGAGCAGGCTGGGCGTGGAACCCAGGAAGGGGCCCCGAGTCAGCCCTGGGGGGCCTCGGGCCACAGCCCCAGGTGCCACCAAGGGCTGGGCCAGAGCCTGGCCAAGTCAGGGCCCCCACTCCTCTGTCCTTGGAACCCTCCTCCCAGACCTCTCCAACGGGCTGCGTGCTGGTCGCTGAGCCCTCCCTCCCCCTCCACTGGGTTTTGTGGTGGACCTTGCCTCTTCCTGCTGCTCCTCTGGGCTGGGTCCCCATCTAGGCCCTGGCCACTTGCTGCTGACCCCGTGGGGTGAGGGCAGGCAGCATGTGGGGTGGGGGGCAGGAGGCAGCTGCTGCTCCCTGTGAGGGGCGTCGGGGACCAATGGTCCCTTTCCAGCTGGAGGGCAGACTGGCCTGGCCGTGGTCCTTGGAGCTGCCAAGCCTCACACACACAACTTCTGGGGTCCTCCCAGGGTCTGGCTGACCCCCCAGGTGGGGGTTCTCGTTCAGGAAGGAGAGACAGATGAAAGGAGGGGGGACCTTGGGGGAGCCTGACGTCTAGACCCACAGGACAGAGATGGGCTGGGCTCTGGCCTCAGTGTGGCCCTGCCCTCCCCCCAACTTCCTGTTCTGGGGGGTTGGGGGGGACCCTGGTCTGGTGCTCCACAGGGTGGCAGAGAACTGGGTGGGGTGTCACCCCACAGCACACTTATCTGAGCACCTCAATTTTCCGTCCCTCTACGATCGTCCCATTCAGCTTCTCCCGGGCTCGGTCAGCATCTGAGCTAGTTTCAAAAGTTACAAACCCAAAGCCCTGTGAGCAGAGAAGGACAGACACGGGGAGACACAGGATGAGAAGGAAGAAGAGGAGGGAGGGGCAGGGCAGGGGAGGGGAGAGAGGGGGAGAGAGGGGGGTTGAGTTGGCAGAGTTGAAGGAGAGACTGCAGCCCAGACGACTTCCTGGTGCCACCAGCCGGGGCGCAGGGGGTGCCAGGGGGGTGCAGCCCATGCGGGGCAGCCTTTGGCTTGGCCTGGGCGTACCACCTGGGCTCTCCCAGGGGACAGGCCAAGGCTGCCAGGGGCACTGTCCAGTCCTGCCAGGGTCCAGGCCTGTCGCCCTAAGCCTGGCTTTCAGGACCTGAGGGGCAGCCCTATCACCTTCACCCTAGAAGTCTGGGGGGGGGGGGGGCAGTGTCTTCTCTCCCCATAGCGGGGAGCAGGGCTCATCTCTGCCGGGCACCCTCCCTCGTCTCCTGCCCCCCTCCCCCAGCCTCAGGCTGACCCCGGCAGGCCCCGCCCCAGGGCGGCCCAGTGTGGACAGAGAGGTCCCGGCAGCTTAGAGAGAAGGAGGCGGCAGCAGCGGCGGCAACGACAAGAACACAGACATGGGGTGGGGGTGGAGGAGGGCATACAGGCACCCGTGTCGCTCAGGGGTCCTCGGGCGGGCGCGCAGCTCTCCAGGAAGGGGGCGCACATGTCACACGCTAGCCTGGCGGCCCTACAGCCGGCGCTGTAATGGTGGCGGCCTCTGGGCGGCACCCACCTTGGAGCCCCGCTCGTTAAAAATGATCTCCACGTCTAAAATTTTTCCGAATTGCTGCAGAGACAGAGAGGGGGTCGGGGGGGACAGGAGACGGTGGGTGAGGGCTGCTGGCGGGCAGCCTGCTCCCCGGACACCCTCACCGCTGCCCCTCTGCCCGGCCCCTCCCTCTGTGTAGCTGGGGGACAGGGATGCCCCCTGCCTTCTTCTGGAGCCAGGACGAGGCCCGTCCACAAGCTGGGTCTGTGCTTGGTGACAGGTGTGCGCCGCGTCACCGTCACCGTGTCCCTCCCTGCTCTGCCACAAGCTGCTGGCCGCCCCCCTAATTCACACTAATGGGTAAAGGACTATGGGAAGGCCCTTCCCCACAGGAAGGGCTGGGAAAGAAGGCACCACGGCGGGGCCTGTGTGGCTGCTGGCCGTGCTGGGAGGACCGGCCTGGGGGCACCGTGGTGACTGGACCCCAGGCCCCTCTGCCCGACCGGGACACACTGGCCAGGGACCTGACTCTGCCTTCCCCTTCCTGCCTGCTCGCTGGCACGTGAGACCATCAAGCTGTGACCAGTCCCCCCCCAATGACAGTGAGGTCCCGAGGCCTCAGTGTGTAAAATGATGGGGCTCCCTTTCACCCCAAAACATCCCGGAGGTGGTGTCATGGGTCACAAGGCAACCCCAAGGCTGCCACAGAGAGGGAGGTGCCGCCCTGAGCAGGGGCCGAGTGAGAGCTGGCGGGCAGCATGCAGGTCCTCCAGGGCCGGCGAGCTAAGGGCAGCCTGGGGCCCGGGGCCCCGAGACTCTACGCAGCTGCTTTACGTGGGGCCCAGGCCCAGGGGGTTTGGCAGCTGCTCGGCTCCAGGGCCAGAAGCGGTGGGTGTTGGGGGGAGGGCAGATCCTCATCTGACAACTCCAAGTCCTACACCCCCCGGGGCCCAGGCAAGTGGCAAATGAAGTGACCGCGGGGCTCCCTGCGGCTGGCTGGGCCCCATGGCACGACCTCGGGGACAGCCCCGGAAGGACACGGTCCGGCGCTTGCTTCCCGTGGACTGTGCCTCGTCCCATAGCCCATCCCCGGAGCCCGGAGGACGCAGCCCAGAGAGGCCAGTGCCCGGCCCCCGCACCCAGCGGAGGGAGCAGGCGCCTGCCGGTGGGGCAGGGCGCCCTCTGAGGAGACGGTCCTGGAGCCCGTGCCTGGAGCCCGTGCAGCAGCTTTGCTGCCTGCTGGGTGGCCTGGGCCTGGAGGGGACCCAGGAAGCCGGAGGGCAGGAGGAAGAGATGGTGGGCCTCCCTCGCCCGTCCGTCCGTCCGTCCGTTCCTCCCTCCCTCCCTCCCACAGGCTCAGGTCGGGACTGGCTGGACCAGGAGGAGGAGGTGGTGGGCCTCCCTCGTCTGTCCGTCCGTCCGTCCGTCTCTCCCTCCCTCCCATAGGCTCGGGTCGGGACTGGCTGGACCAGGAGGAAGAGGTGGTGGGCCTCCCTCGCCTGTCTGTCCGTCCGTCCGTCCGTTCCTCCCTCCCACAGGCTCGGGTCGGGACTGGCTGGACCAGGAGGAGGCGGCGGGGGGCAAAGAATGGGGCCGCACACACTCACCCCGAACATTTGCCGCAGGTCGGGGTCCCTGAACCGGAAGGGGATGTTGGAGACGTGGAGCCGCTTGGGGAGCTGTTTCTCTGTGGGGTCGGAGGGGTGGAGCGGCTGGCTGTCCGTCTGTGCCGCCTCGTCTGTCTGCTGTGGGGAGAGGACGGGGGGTGAGGGCCTCTCCAGCTCCATCCCATGGGGGGCAGGGGGAGCTCAGAGACCAAGTCCTTCCCAGCCCCTCGGACCCTTCCTCCCGGGGCTGGGATCCGCCAGGGAAACGGCCGAGACGCTCACAGGACACGGCCCAGCGCGAGGGGGTCCCCTCTCCACTTGGCCCAGGCCTGACCGTGGTCCCTCAGCTCCAGGGACCATCGGGCCTCAGGGTCCCACGTGTGCCCTTTCCCGATGGGACCATTCAAGGCCTGATGACAAAGTGCATTTCCGAGCCCGCATCCGGGCACACACATCCCCCCCCCCCCGGGCACCTGGGCACTGCCTCTCAGTACTTTGGGGGCCATGCACCGTGACCAGTTCCGTCCCGTGTAGCTGGTCCGCACTTCGGACTCATACACTGTTTCAGCAGCGGGGCCCGAAGGCCCGGCCTCAGGAAGCAACGCGGCCGCTAAGGCCCCCCTCCCCCCCCAGCTCCCCACGAGGACGGCGCTGGGATGAGGCATCGCGGTGTCTGGTGGGAGCAGGCGCTAGCCAAGGGGGCGAGGCCCCGCCTGGGGGACTTCTCCAGGGACGGGCGCCAGCTCACCACCAGGCCGGCCTTTAGCCGGGTCCCTCCCTGCAGACTCGCCAGTGCCAAAGGCACAGAGGGTGCTCCGTCAACGCTGCTGGGTGATGAGTGGCCGCTGACTGAGGTGCCCGGCCAGCTCACTGGGACCGGGACGCCAGGGCCCGAGGCCCCCTGTGTGCCACCCACAGGGACATGCCAGAACCGCCAATGGCCGCCGGATACTCGCCCTCCTGGCTCTGCCCACGGGTAAGGCAAGTGGGGGCGTCACCGTCCAGCAGCCGTGCTTAGTGGTGACAGACAGGACGGTGGACAGAGGCCACGGGGCTCCTCCGTCCCCACACCCCTCAGTGGGGGTGAGCTCAGCACCGAGGGGATAACGAGATGAGAACATAACCGCTATTGCCTCCTACCCTTTCTTGTCTCGATTCGTGCCTGTCCGCTCCCCCACCCCCCATATTATTTTGGGGTCGCCCCAGTGCACTACTCAGATGCATCCTTGTCGCGGGTCGGCTTCCCGGACCCCTGCCTCCAGCAAAGCCACCCTGGGCCTCCTGCCTGGAGAGAGCGCAAGCAGCAGGCAGGTGCCCCAGCCCTCAGGGAATTTGTTCCAACCCGTGGCTGTGGCCTCGCTTGTGGCCTGGAGGGAATGCAGTGCTGACCTCAGCCAGCAGAGGGCAGAGGTTCACTTGGCCACAGGCCGGGCTGGAGCCGGGAGCCCTGGGTGGGGAGCGTGGGAAGGACCACAGGAGGCGGAGGCCACCGTGTCACCAAGATCCAGGTCCCCCCGAGCCCCCAGGGGAGCAGCAGAGGGCGAGGTGGGGAAGGGGGGGCGTGGGGACAGGCACGGGAAGGGCCAGGACACCAGGAAGGAAGGCGCCCCGGCCCCGCGCAGCTGCGCGCAGGCAGATAAATGGGCTCCGCGTGCGATGTGCTGAGCAGCCCCGGCGGTCACGGCACACTGGCTGCCCGCGGGGAGGCGAGGCCGGCCCACCGTTTATCACCGCGGCCCAGGCTCTCCCCCTTAGAACACTCTGCTTCGGCGCCCACACGCAGGGGGCACGGAACCACACCAGCCACACCCCTGCCTCCGCCGCTGGTCCCAGGGGCTTGGCTTCTGCGCCCTCATCTCCGTGTCAGCCGCCTTCACCCCTCTCACCCTCCGAGGCCAGGAGCACAGAGGCGGCCACCCTCCCAGGAGTCTGCAGCCCCCTCCGCCTGGGCCTCCCCAAGGCCAGCACGGGGGGCAGGCGGGGGCCAAGAAGGTGCTGGGCAGGGGCCGTGGGCCCAGGGGCCTCGGGCAGCAGATGCGGACCTGTGCCCAGTGCTGCCATGAGCGAGGCTCGCCGACGTGTGACAGGACGGAGCGGGTCTTGCAAAGCCCCCCCCGTGCCCTCACCGCTCCTTCAAAACCTCTGTACTTGTGTGATGGCCGCCAGCCGGGTGCCCGATGTGGCTCACCCCGCGGGGCGGCCCGTCGGCCTCGGAGGGGCGTGTTCCGAGGGTGGCCTCCAGCCGTCCGTGCACGAGGACCTGTTCTGGGGTCCTGGGCAGCCCCCCTGGGGCAGAGCTGTGTGTCCACTGTGGGCTTGGCCGCACGCACGCTCCGTGCCCCCCGCTGCCTTGGCCAAAAGCACGAAGATGACGAGGGATCCACACACGGGAGAGGTGGGTCTGGACAAAAGCGGGGCTCGTGCAGCCTGCGCCCGGGCCCCCCAATCCAAGCACAGAGGCTCGCTGAGCTGAAGGGCCTCAGAGGGGACCGGGACTGGGACGGCTGACCAGTGCGCAGGCGCCCAGCCTTCAGGTGGCGGTGGGCAGCCTCTAGGGGGAGAAGTCGGCTCCTGGAGTGAGCAAGACGGGGTGTGGTCCTGGCTCCCGCTGCGCCCGAGGCGGTGGCCGAGGCCTCCAGCAGCTCTGGGTCACCGGCTGTCCAGCGACGTCCCCCGCACTACTCATTCGGCCGGGGCCTGGGGAGGAACGGCCTGTCCTCCTGGTCCCCAGGCGAACACCCGCAGAGCCTGGCCCCTCGCAGGACCTGGAGCCCCGGCCGGAGGAAAGAGGGTGGCTGTATCCTGCAGGCCGGGCGGGTTCCCGGGGAGCCGCTCAGCTGGCGCAGCGAGCTTCTCCCCTCGGTGGGGCCTCCCCCCGGGGACTCCGGGGTCCCCCAGGGCACGGACTCTCGCAGCCAGAGGCCACGGCTGGCCCCTTCGACTTTCATGTCCGTGGCTGGTGAACCCGACGGTCATCGCGGGGCAGGGCCGGTCACTGCTTCTGCGCCCAGCACGCTCGGTGCCGGCACATGTGTGGGTAGGTGCCCACACATACCCGCCCGCGAAGGCAGGCTTGCCGTGTCCGGTCAGGCCGCGTCCGGGCCCCGGTGCCGAGGAGGCCGGGCTCTTTCTGCCGCACAGGCCTCGGGCATCGGCCGCCAGCTGCGCTCCGATCCTCTTGTCTCCCACCGTGTCCACTTCCCGGGCGGATCCGGGCTCCCCATCCGTCTGTGAGGGGGTCATGAGGCCTGACCAGGCGCCCCGTCCACCACAGTCCGTCAGAAAGAGGCCAGCGGCCGGCAACGTGCTCCCGGCGAGCCCCCTGCTCTGCGCACCTCTTCAGAGCGCGGGTCGTGGGGCTGCGGCGTCAGGAGCAGGAGCAGCGGGAAGCGTGGGTGGCGCCCGGGTCTGCGGCCCGAGGGCCGGCCTTCTTCTGCGGCAGGAACCCTGGGCGTCTACGAGACTCCGCACCAGGGATGCGGGGTGCCGAGTTGATGGCTTCCAGCGGCTCCGCTGGGCAACGCTCCAAGCGGGAGGAAGGGCCCTGGCTGGGCCCCAGACGAGGGTGCAGTCCAGCCCGGGGGTGGCGGGGTGGGCTCTCCCCCCACAGAGCTTGACGGTGCTGTCCGCCAGGGGAGGACAGGTCATATTTGGATCCACGCAGCACCTTGGGAGCCAGACTGGGTCAGGGGGAGGGCTGAGGGCATGTGGAGGGGGCACCCATCGGAGCCGCCAGGGCAGAGCTACTCCTGGGCAGCTCGGAGCTGCTGGCCCCTTGCCCAGCCCGGGCAGCTAGTGCTGGGGTGGAGCCAGCAGGGAGGTTGGGAGGCCCCATAGCCCCAGCACAGCGGGGGGGGGGGGGGGGGGCTGGAGACCAGGGGGAGTGCAAGACGGGCCAGGCAGGCTGGGGTCTCAGGGGTGGTCTTAGGAGGGTGGCCGGGGGGCAGGCTGGGGTCTCAGGGGGTCTCAGGAAGGTGGGGCCGGGGGCAGGCTGGGGTCCTGGTCTCGGGAGGGGGGCGGGGCTCGGCCCTCACCACACGCTCACATCGGAAGTGCAGGGCTCAGCCCTTTCTCCTCCGGCTGCATTACAACCACATAATTGAAGCTATCTGATTGGAGGGCAGCCAAGCAGGTAGATTACAAGTGATTAGAAATGAGAGGAGTGCCCGCCACCGAGACAGCGCTGAGGCCCTGGGCTCCTCTCCCGCCGCCAGCCCCCCCACTCACCCCGCAACACCAGGCGAGCCCAGGCCGCCTGAGTCCCTAGCTTCCCATTCACGGTCACTGGCAGCCGGGACACGCTCCCTCTCCCAGGCGAGGCGAGGGCCTGCCGGGCCTGGCTCAGCAGGGGCCATCGGAGAGATGCTTCGTGTGAGGACCAAGAGCTGCGAGGCTGGGACCCCCACGAAGTCTCCTGCCCCTCCACCCACAGCCTGGCCACGCTCCCTGAAGCTTGGTCTCGGGGGCCCCTTACCGGCACTGTCGGGGCCCCCGCCATGGGCTGTGTGCTGGCCTCGGTGCCCGGCTGCTCGGGGTGGGTCTGTGCTGGTGTGTACAGGGTCAGGCCGTGCTCCGGGGGGACCGGGGTCTGGCCCGAGTAGTCCTGTGTGGGGTGCGGCGGGGGCGGGGCGTACTCGGCGGGGATGCCGTTCTGTGGCGGAGGCGGGTACTGGGCGGGGGGGTAGGGCTGGGCCATCGCTTCAGGCGGAGCCGTGGCGTCCTGGCTGCCCTGTGGAGGGAGGGAGGGAGGGAGAGAGAGAGAGAGAGAGAGAGAGAGAGAGAAGGCTGGTTAGACTCCGGGGGGGAGGGGGGGCGGCCCAGACACTGGCCCCCAGGAGCTTGTCGGCGTGGACTCTCTGCCCACCCCTGAAATTGGGGTGTTGTGGGAACCGGCGATGTGGGGCATACACGCAGCCTGGACCGAAGTCCCTCAGCCTCAGAGGAGGGACTGGGGTCCCTTATGGTGTCGGGGGGCAGGGGCTGGACTGGGGAACGGCCGGCCCAAGGGTCATAGGAGCCCTGAGAATTCTTTGGCCTGGCCCTGCCAGGGCATTAGGGGGGCGTTAATGAAATGTGTGACCGAATCCAGCAGGCTGGTGTTTCCGTGGGTAATTCTGTGTGGCCCGAGGATGACTACAAATACCCACATGGCCCTGGGCAGGAAAAAGGCTCCCCACCCCCATGCAGATGCGCCCCGAGGGCCGGCCTGCGGCAGCCCCTCTGAGCAGGTGAGGCGCTCTCTGGCCTTCCGAGGTGCCCCAGGCGACAGAGCGCCCTCACCTGTCAGGACAGGTGCCGAGCGTGAGCAGCCCTGCGGTGTGGCAGGACCTCACACAGGCGTGGACAGTCGGATGCTCATGACTCCTCTTCTCCCCGCGCGGGGAGGACCCTGTGTGAGCTCCCGCCACCCCCTTCACGCCGACCCGCACGCCTGGCATCTCCTGTCCACCTGCCCCGGGAGCCGTCCGGGCGCTCCTGCCAGAGTGCGTGCTGGGACTGCCCACTCAGCCACGACGACTCCCGACGCCTCCCCCTGGGCGGCCGGGGCGGGCTGTGGGCCTGCAGCCAGCCCATCGGAGAGTGAATTTGGACGCTGACCCGGAAGGCGAAGCCACTGTTAGAGTGCGAGGTGCCCAGAGAGGCCGCCCAGGGCCACGGGGAGTCAAAAACCCCACTGGAGGCTCCGCCGTCAGGCCCGGGGCCCGGCCCCACAGCCGCCTGCCCACCTCCCTGCAGGTGGAGGCCTGAGGGCCCCCTGCTCCCCAAGCTCCAACGCCAACCTCCGCATCTCAGTGCCGGACCCCCCCCCTCCTGGGGGACCCCTGACAGCTGGTAGGCAGAAGTCCTGTCCTTGTCCTCTTCCCTGGTGAGGGTCCCCTCCCTCTCTCTGCAGAAACTGGGGCAGCGTTCACGCTCCTGACCTGGGGAAGGAAATACGCACGTGCACGTGCACGCGCACGCACACCCACACCTGAACGCACGGCACATATGAATGCATGGCACACATGAACGCACCCACACCCGAACACACGCACACACACACATGAACACACGGCACACACGAACACACGCCCCATGCTAGAGGTCCCCGTTTCATTGTTCCAGAGTCACCTGCGAAGCCCCATGCCCACTGTTAGCAAACGTCTTGGCGAAGTCCCCAGCTCCCAGTGAGGTTGGGGGCGCGGGAGGAGGAGGGGAGGGCGGGGCAGGGGGAGCTGCCGGGTGGAGGAGGTGAGGAGGGAGGAGCAGGAGAGCTGGAGGAAATTGTGGGGCTGAGGGTGAGGGTGAGGCGGCCCATGAGATCAATTAACTGATACATATTTGATTAGAACTTGCGCTTACATCTTCCCAGCGCCCCCTCCTCCCAGGCTCCGAGAGAGGGAGGCTCTCTCACCTGCTTCCTCTCACTCACCCCGACTTCCCCAGGCCCCTCTGGCCTGGGTCCCATTCCGGCTGAGTGACGCTGACACAGGGTGATGTCGGGGGAGGTGGCACACGGACTCGGTCCCGGGGGCCCAGGTCAGGCTGCCCCCGTCCTGTGGCAAGTCTGGCTGGGTTGGGTTTGGTCCTGGGGTGGTTCCGGCCATGCTTCTAGGCCCGCTGGGCAGAAATGGCGCGAGTCACCCGAACATCTCCCAGGAGGGGCCTGGCCCGCGCATGCCCACAGGGAATGCGTGATGATGGGGAGCCCAGGAGGGGGCTGGGAGAGCCCTTGGCTCACTGGAGTGAGGAAATGGCACCGGGTGACCTGCCCAGCGGCCCCGCTGGTGATGCAGGCAGGGCTGGTGTTATGTCTGCGCCCAAGAGTGGGGGCCAAGGGGCGGGCCTGGATGCAGGCTCCTGGGGTACACCAGCGAGCAGGTTCCCCGCGGAGCATAACTGAATTTGAAAAGCCTGGCGTGGTTTCCAGAGGCGATGAATCAGCCCCGGGTGCTGGCCAGGCTCACAGCCCAATGTCCTGGCGCCTCGAAGAGCCAGTGGGGCCGGCCCGAAGGCCGCAGCAGCTAGGTCAGCGGCTAGGCCCATGGGTGCAGAGCGGGGCTGTTTTACCATATAAGCGGTCACAGGAGAGTTTTTGTGGACAAGCCAAAGTCTGAGATTCAACTGGGGCTGCCCCGGATGGAGGTTAGAACCCTGGATGGAGGTCTGGTCCCCAGATGGAGGTCTGGGTCCTGGCATGGAGGTCAGGGTCCCGGATGGAGGTCAGGGTCCCAGATGGAGGTCAGGGTCCCGGATGGAGGTCTGGGCCCCGGATGGAGGTCTGGGTCCTGGCATGGAGGTCAGGGTCCCGGATGGAGGTCTGGGTCCTGGCATGGAGGTCAGGGTCCCGGATGGAGGTCTGGGTCCTGGCATGGAGGTCAGGGTCCCGGATGGAGGTCTGGGTCCTGGCATGGAGGCCTGGGCCCCGGATGGAGGTCTAAGACCCGGATGGAAGTCAGGGTCCCGGATGGAGGTCTGGGCGCCGGATGGAGGTCTGGGTCCCGGATGGAGGTCTGGGCCTCGGATGGAGGTCTGGGTCCCGGATGGAGGTCTGGGCCCCGGATGGAGGTCTGAGCCGATTGAAGGTCTGGGCCCGGATCGAGGTCTGGGTCCCGGATGGAGGTCTGGGTCCCGGATGGAGGTCTGGGCCCCGGATGGAGGTCTGGGCCCCGGATGGAGGTCTGGGCCCCGGATGGAGGTGTGGCTCACCACTGAGTCCGCAGCACCTGACAGGGCTCAGGCATACAGCAGGTGCTCAGAAAATGCTGACTGTGGTTGTGACCGCCACAGGCAGACGGTTGACGAGAGCCTGGCCCTGCGTTCAGCAGTGAAAATATGATACTTCATGTCCCTGTCAATACTGTGACCTGGCAGTCACCCCCCATGGAAGGCTGGGTGGGAAGTTACCTGCCCCGGTGCCCGCGGCCAGACACGCGGGGCTGGGCTGTGAACACAAGTCGTCTGGCTCTGCCTGGGGAGTGGGGCTGCCCCGGTTGGGCTCCAGGTCCCCTCCCGTGTCCCCGCAGGAGGACGAGGTCCGGGAGGCGGGCTCCACGGGAGGCTGGGGAGGTGCCCCAGGTGGCAGGAGAGAGCAGGCCGGGGGGAGAGCCCGCTGCTCGCGGGGAGGGAGGCTGGAGGCTGCAAGGTGGGGCGAGAATCCACTGCGTGCGCGCTCCTTCCGTCCCAGCCAATCCATCCTGCCCCCGGCAGGCAGCTTAATATCTTTTATTAATTAGGGCCGTCAGACGGCGTGTCAACCCCGTATTACTTCATCCGGGGCCTGGTGGGTGAGGCCGGGGGTGCCAGGGCAGGGGTGGGGGGCCGGAGGGAGGGTCCCTGAGGAGGGCCAGGCTGGGCCTCAGACCACCCGTCTCCCGGCGGCTCCCACAGGGCTCGGCTGCCCCGGCGTCGCCCTCCCCGTCAGGAGCTGCTTGCGAGCACCTACTGTGTCGGCCCGCAATGCTCCACCCGGCCCAGGCCCTGCACAGGGGTTCTCGGCTGAGACTTCCCTCTCCCCACGGTCCCCTCCATCCCGGGAGTGTGCGACACCTCCCCCGGGAAGCCTTCCAGGCTCTCCGCACCCCTGCGACCTTCATTCTGCTCCCCCACCGTCCTTCCCTGCCGCTGAGATGGCGCCTGCGTTTCTAAGCAGGTGGGCTTCGCGGCACCTCTGCGCTCCCACTTGGTGGGGCGGAGGCCACAGCGTCGGGCCCAAAGCTCCCTCCCAGGGCCTGTGAGGACAAAGCCACGGGCAGCGGCCACGGTGACCTCCAGGGGGAGGCGGGCCTGGAGGACACCTCTGCCCCGAAGCTGCCCCTCCATCTTCATGAAGGAACATGGCCTCCATTAGCAAGTGGAGCAGGGCATCAGGCACGGTGCCCAGGATATGAGGCGGGCAGGCCGGGGGTGGGCATGGGAAGTAGAATGGGCACCAGGGCACCCCTGGGTGCCACCCACAGTCTGGGCCCAGTGGCCTGAGGCTCCAGACGCCCTGCCTTCCTCCCACGGTGCCCTGTGGCTGCTGAGAGCTCTGGGGAGCAGCTCACGCGGAAGCCGGGCAATGGAATCTGGGAGTAAATTTCCTGGCAGCCAAGCTTACATAACGCGTCCCACAGTCAACGCAGGGTGGCGGGGGGGGGGGGGGGGGGGGGTGAGGAGGGATTGAGATCTGGGTTTATCCTCAGTTGGGACAAGTCCCCTGGTGGGGACAGAGCCCTTGGCGGGGACAGTCGCGTGTGGCGCCCACAGCTGGACACAGTGGGGATGTGGGCGTGGCCCAGGGACCAGCAGCACCGGCACCCGGGAGCTGTTTGGGTGCAGGTTCGGGGCTCCTGGCCCAGCATCTGTGACACAGAGAATGGTCCCTACTGACCACAGACCATAGACGTCCTGGGAGGGAAGGGACCTGCCCATCTGCTGGCGCCCTGGCTGCGCTGAGGCCGTGGGCCTGGGACCCTGGCTGGGGTCTGTGGCATGAGCCGATGCTTCCGACGGAGCAGGGAGGAGCGTCCATGGGGTGGGGGCCACACCTGGATCCTGCAGGAGCCCCGGGGAGGGACTGTCCACCCTGCAGACCGCAAGGCCGGGGGGCCCGGTGACCAGGAGCAGGGAGGGGCACACCCAGCTGGGCCGGGCCTGGGAGGACAGAGCTCAGGAGTCAGGAGATGCGCCGTGGGGACCCTGCCGTGGGCGGGCCTGGCAGTGACAGTGCAGAGGGGGCCCGCGGAAGGACGCAGGGGCTGGCTGCTG